CCACTGGCTTCTATTCTGAGCCATATTCGATAACATCTCTAGCCACTGTGTAGCACCATCTCTCGGACCCCAGTCAGGGATTCATGAAGGACCAACACAAGCCAGTCCTTTGCAGCTTTCTTTCATACCACGACACCATGTCATGCACTGACCATCTCTCCGCTTTTCCCAACCAGTCCCAGAGTCGGCAAATAATGCACGACGTGGAATTCTCTGGGACAATATTCGTAGAACATGTCCAAGTTACCGAAGTCGGTGTTTCAAGATGGTGACACCAATTGAATTATCATCTCTGTGCCCGAACACACGATGCCGAACCTCTGCATTACTAACATGGTGTTGCCACCGGATGTCAGCAATCCTTCGGAGACAACGACGATCAAACACGGAGAGTCGTCTAACGTCCTCAACTCGGAGAGGCCAGGTTTCACAAGCATAGAGCAAAACTGCTCTCACTGACGCGTTGTAGATCCGACCTTTTACAGCCAGACTAACATCACGAAGGCGGCAAAGATGGCCCTGATTGACATAGGTTGCTCTGGCTTTCACTATACTACATAAACATGGTTGGAATGATTTTTATGATGAATGGGTCGATTAGTACATACCGTACATTTTGTTGCTGCGATTTCCCTTTGAATAAATTTGTTTGTATAGCGATTAATTTATGCTAACAGTAACAAATATTATCCAATTAATTAACCACTTAGAAGAATCATGCGTAAACATAGAACCAATAATCAAATCAATGGGAGATACAATCAAACTAAAGTAGACAGTGACAGGTTAAAGATCAACAATAACTAATCAAGATTGAGGTGGATAGGAGAAGCTGTAAGTCCTGATTACTTCCTCCACTAGGATCTGGTTTGTTCTCTCCCACAGTAGGTTGTTATCGATAGTGTCTGGTCAACCGATCCGGAATATTTTACAGAGACAACTGTTAATAAACACTTGTATCCTCTGGATGACGGCTTTCGTAGTTCTCCAAGTTTCCACCCCATACAGTAGAACTGTTATGACACTTATATTGAAAATTCTAACCTTGGTGTTCGTTGACAGACAGTAGTTTTGAGTTACAGATGTTCCTCAGTTGTAAATATGCTGCTCTTACTTTGCCCATCTTCACATCTGCATCAGATCCACCGTATTCATCAATGATGTTACCGAGATATGTGGGGGTTTTTACATCTTCCAGAGCTTCTTCGTCAAGTGTGATTCGATTGTTGCATGTTGTGTTGTATCGGAGAATCCTGTTTTTCTCTTTGTGTATGTTGAGACCTACTGATGCTGAAGCTGCTGCTACACTGGTCGTCTTCTACTGCATTTGTTGTTGCGTTTGCGATAGAAGAGCCTGACCGTCTGCGATGTCAAGATCGTCTAGCTGCATCCTAGCTGTCCACTGTATCCCATGCTTCCCCACAGATATTGATTTCTTCATGATCCCATCGATCAGCAAGAGAAAGAGAAAGGGTAAGAGTAAGTAACCTTGCAACCTTGCTTCTCGGCTCTCTGAGTTAAGATCTTGTGTAGTTACCAATAGGCGCGATGTATTATTCGAATATTTTTATAACTTAATAAGAAATGAGTCACTGAAAAGAGTAATCATATTTTATTATCGATTTGTGTGTTATCAGAGCACGTCCGTTATTGATTACTATGTCGAACTATTTGATTATATCAGGTTAATAATTTGTGATTATTGAGAGCATTGTATAATACCGGGAAAATGGTAAAAATCATCTGACTAATCAGAGTTTTCTTCCAAAAGGCACTGGTCAAAACACTGTTTCACAAAACCGAAAGAATGTACTTCCGATACAATCGAATAGGAAGTTATGAATGTTAAAAAAATGTTTAAAGAATAACGGATACCCATTGAAATTTATTGAGAAATATGGCAAAAGTGAAGATTAAAAAAAAACCAAAGAAATTACAGCAAATAAAAAGCCTATTTTAATTCAACTTCAATTCAAAGGTGATAATGTTACAGGATCAATCAACATGAGACTAAAAACTGCATTGACAAGAACTTATCCTACAGCGAAATTGATTGGCCTGTCCAAAACAACATGTTCTTTGACACAATCAAAGGTCGACGACAGATGTCCCTTTCATGTTACCACCAACTGTGTATACAAATTTACATGTATCTGCCAAAGCAGTTACATTGGTAGAACAGAAAGGAGAGCCTACGTCCGATTGAAAGAACATATTCTGAAATGTTTTAGATCATATGGATTGAAAGCATTCAACAGTGCCACCACAAGACATCTCCTTGACACAGGACACGAAGTCCTTCAACGTGATTAGCAAACAATCAAACTCTAACCTTCTGAAATTTGCCAAAGCAATAGCAATCAAATGTTTAAAACCAGATCTATGTATATAAAAAGAGACAGTAATAAGTCTTTGTTTACCCTCGCAACATTAACCCCCCTTTTTATTCATTTGTTGCTATTTATTTATTTATTGTGTCATTATTCCAACTCTTTCGAAAGTTTAAATTACATCATACATAACTGATTGATTTCAATTCATATTTTCTTTATTCCCATTAATCTATTTCCATGAGTTCTAATCACTATTTCAATGTTCTGGAACTTTCCCTCTGAATCTGAAGCTTCGCTACATGATGATACACATGTATTCATCCTTAGTCACCCTCTTATGTATATGTCAATATCTAAATTAATAATGTTGAATTTTAAATAAGTTAGGTTGTAAGCAGTTGATGAGAACCTAACGAAATAAAATGAATCCATTTATTATTCTGCATTAATCTTTGTTCATGCTTCGCGCGCGAAGCCAGTAGGTTCTGGGTTCGAGCCCCGCGTGGTGCGGGATCGTGGATGCGCACTGCTGAGGAGTCCCACGCTAGGACGAAACGGCCGTCCAGTGCTTCCAGGTTTTCAATGGTGGTCTAGCTTCAACTGACTCATGATTTCAATTTGTGAAAGTTGTTTGTATTGTCAATTAAAATATCTTTTCTAAAAGCTTTTGAAAGTTAAATGTTAAATAAAACCACAAGTCTCTTTGATTTCTATAAATAAACTAACGATGGATCTAAAAAAAATTCTTCCATATTTCTCAATTGTTTTCTGTTCAAAATTCAAGAGTAGTATACTCCTGAAAGCTTGAAAACAGATGAAAAATCATTGTCTGAGATGAGATATACAGAAATATAGAAAAGAATATGGTAACAATTGAGTATTTAAAAAACTTTGTACATAGAATTTTCTATATGGACTGTACAGAATCTATCATGATTTCAACCTTTTTCATTGATTTAATCAAATTGTTAAATACTATTATGAAAAATCACTTCAATGAAGACTATTTATGAACTCTTTATAACTTCTAATGATCATTTATGTTTCAATGAACAACATTAAGCAACAAAGTATTTGTGTGAGAAAGAGAGAAGAAAGGAGAGTGGAAACACTAATATGCAATCTTTCTTTTATATATTACCGCCGTTGAATTAACAATTTCTATGAATCTAGTGTTCATGTTGTTGGTGCTAATAAGATATGACAACTTGGACCGATGCACACATGTGTCTGGTTCTACGTTGTAACTGACTGACTGACTAACAGGAACCACTTATTCTTTTTGTTCAGTAGAAATCAGTATCGATTAATAAACACTAGTTTCATGCAAACAATGAAAAAAATATCATTTACACTATGATCATTTATATAAATATTATTGAACTGCATCACCCTTTTCAATGAAATTTCACAATATGTTTTCTGATGAGACTATAATTAATAGATGATCTTTGAGTGACGCTAAAGTGATCTTGAGGATTATTTATTTATTTAAACATATAAACATTGGTACAAGCAGGCACCAAATAGATATGTGCCACATAAATCATTCCATTTATGTAAGGGTTGGGATACTACCCGGGTGCATGTGGTTTTCTTAGGGGACCACACACGAAGCCTTGGACTTAAAAGTCTAATTCACAAGGTAGTGGAGAAACGTAAGGAGATTCAGTCCCATGGTAGCTGGTGAACAACGATTGGTTCATACACCATTTGTCCCTTAAGGATACTGGAGACCATGTACACCATTGGTTTGTAATCAGGGTATTCCAATTCCCCTAGGTGAATCCTCCATATCCACCAACCCGGTTAAAGCGCCGGACATTCACTTTTCGTCTTCTCAATTTTGTAAACAATACTCGTGATGTGAGAAGGCAGTGAGTCGTACTTCCCTGACAGTGGTTGTATGCACGTGGCAATGTGAGAGCATTTCAAGAGGTAGGGCTGAATCTCCCCACTCTTAATTGTATCATGGCGTTTGGGGGCCATCTTGAAAGTATTCACCTACTACTTGTACTAACAAGGGTCAAAAGAAGGTTATCACTTGGTGTAAAGAATTAAGATTAGGATTTAAAGTTAGAATTGGAGTTGGGATCTTCATCAAGAACTGACATCAGTTATAATGTCAAAATCTAAAACTTGCTATCTTTAATTTCATTGGTTCGTCCATTAACTATGGTATCTAACAAGAGGTTTGTGCAGCAGGTGAGATCGATTGTCAGAGATAAGATAATGCCTGTCGCCTCTCGGTTGGCCACATTGTGCAAGGCTACTTCTTCTTGAGGGACCTAGAAATGAAATGGGATTAAGTGTGGATTTCGACAACCTGTGAATGTAACCGCAGAGCAGCAGGGACAATTGCTTGAGGTCGGATATATACGACCTATTTTGTGAGCATTTTGTTTATCAGACTTTACCTCACCTGAGATAGAAATCCGTATGGCAAGGTTAGGTGTGCAATTTTTACAGCCGACGTTTTAAAATTTCTTCCTTCGGTTAGCATTGTTGTAGATGCTTGTTGGATACAGTCACGGAGTTCGAGATCACCAGAAAACACATGAACCCATGATATGATTTCTCGTTTGGCAAACAATGAGACGTAAATTTTAAGTCGAAGAAAAAATATAAGATACGAATATAAAACAGTTGGAATAAGATAAAACTTACTTTTAACACAGTAAGTAATTGATAAGCTAATTGTTCTTGTCTTACATCATCACCAACTTTTACAATTGCACTGGTTAAAATCCATCCTGGTAAATTACCCCATGGTGATGTAGCACGTATACGTTCACGTTTTACATGCCATGGTTCTTTTAGCACTGCTGCACTTGGATCTTCTGGATCACACTAAAAATAATAATAATAATAATAAACTATATAAATACATAAAAACAGATATATTGTAGAATCTGGAAGAAGAAATATATGTTAACTCAAACTACTATATCATTTCAACATGACAAGATGAAATTATCAGGATGAAAAGAAAATGAGTCGAAATAATAGTAGCAGCAGTGATATTGAGAAAGATTAAACGATGAAAATATGATTGAAATCATGAAGCGATTTAAGTTAGACTACCACTGAAAACCTGGAAGCACTAGGCTACGGTTTCCTCTAGGATAAGACTTTTAAGTAGTGAGCATCCACGTTCCCGTTCGTGTGTAAGACCAAAGGACTTAGGTTTGAATTCCGCGTGAAGGATCGTGAATGAGAACTGTGGAGGAGTCCCTGGTATGGCCAAAGGTGGGGACAGTTAGCTCTCCCCTATCCAAATACTCTCACGTGGCTATGTGCATACAACCACTGTCAGGGAAGTACGACTCACTGCCTTCTCACATCACGAGTATTGTTTACAAAATTGAGAAGACGAAAAGTGAATGTCCGGCGCTTTAACCGGGTTGGTGGATATGGAGGATTCACCTAGGGGAATTGGAATACCCTGATTACAAACCAATGGTGTACATGGTCTCCAGTATCCTTAAGGGACAAATGGTGTATGAACCAATCGTTGTTCACCAGCTACCATGGGACTGAATCTCCTTACGTTTCTCCACTACCTTGTGAATTAGACTTTTAAGTCCAAGGCTTCGTGTGTGGTCCCCTAAGAAAACCACATGCACCCGGGTAGTATCCCAACCCTCACATAAATGGAATGATTTATGTGGCCCATATGTTACTTAATTACTTACGCCAGTTACCACTCGTGGAGGAGGAAAGGTCACCCACTAGCATTCTCTACCGAATTCTGCCCTGGAAAATCCTTTCAAGACGTTCCCAGGTTCTATTCATCCTATTGATGTCTGTTCCCGATTCCAGATGCAATAGGTTACTTGTTCTTCTTTATTTCCTTTTCTCTTCAGGATTTCAAGTTAAGGCTTTTCTATTATACATACTAGTCTCACATATGTCTTGATAATTTTATTGCATTGTTCTGATATCTGCCAGGTTTCACCTCATTTAAAACTCCCTGAATAACATTAAATCCAGACTACTTTTTTATATATTTTATATAATGCATATCAATAAACGGGTTATACAGTGATCATATATTTATGTATACAGATATACTTACTCTAAACGATTTATGCGGTTGAAGTTCACATTGTTCTTTAAGTCGATTACGTATTTCACCAGCTCCAATATAAATTGGAGATTTAGATCGATTAGCATTAGTTACTGTTATTGAATCAGTAGCTGTGAAAGAATCATCTTTCATTATAGTTTCATTAAGTTCAAATTGATTATGTGTACATTTAGTTGTATGCTCTTTTCTTTCATCCATTTCATCTATAGTTAAATGATAATGAGGATGTTGATGATGATGATTAAATTCTGTAGGATTTATTAATTCTTCACTTAAAGAAACATTAGATGATATAGAAGAGGAACGAAGACTTAATTCATCTGATGTACGTGTATTTACATTGATTTCATGATTTTCTGTCATTTCAGTAGATGAAAAACAACCCTTTTCATGAATGATTTGAAAGAAACAAAAGGAAAAAAACACATGAATAAAGTTACGTACACACACACACAATGATTGTCAATGAAAAAAAAGACAATTTGTAATAAAGTATAACCCAGTTATGCTAGATCGTTAAAGGTAATCAACCAGAAATGTCCTATTCACGTGGATTTCATACTGATTAGTACTTTTTAGTAAAGAGGATTTGTAATCTTGAGAGGATTTACAATTCATATGTGCTATGTTTGAAGAGATTAGGAAATCACCTAAAATTGGAGAACGAAATGAAGACTTAGTGAAAAAATGATAGGATAAGCTAACTATTCCGATGCGTCTTAGCTCAGCTAACTAGAGGGAGATGTTCAGGTTCAGAAGAGGGAAAACGTATTCCACAAACAGCCAAAAGCACGAATAAAAACAAGTACAACTCAAGCGTACATATACAATATAAAAATGTCCCTGGGAAACGTCAAAACATAGGCAGATTTCGTCCTATTTAGAACTCATCAGTTGGATGTATCTGCATCCCACTGTTGACGACAACTTCGAGACTCAAACCCATTAACGTTCGCTTCAAACACCATAGCATTATCTACTTAGCCAATAACTACAAACTAGTAGCTATATGGACTCAGTAGTTAAATAAATAACGCGATGATGTTTGAAGTGAAAGGTATTGTGTATGATTCCTGGGTTGAATATCAACTTTGAGATGGTGACACATCTAGCTGGTAATTCCCAAATAGGATGAAACGCGCATCCTGGAATTCACTGCTAGCCACCATCCATCTTTGCTTATAATCATTTTAATAGACCATTTAAGAAAACCTAATTTTCCTTCTGATTGAACAAAGTGAACATGAAATCTTGAAGAGGATGATACTAACTCTGGGGAACGGAACATATATCGTTGAACAGTTGAAAACGTTAACATTGGACTAATCACAATAGATAGGATCTATTGATATGATGGAACGTTAGAATAAAGTTTTGAATTAACATTAAGACAATAATTGGATTAACTTTAATGGTATCGATGATTCTAGATTTGGACATTTAAATACCAAACATTTTTACTTATTTGGACATGAACTAGTTTTATGTTATTATAGAATATAATTGATAGAATGTCAAAGCTTTCATATTATACTAATTAATGAAATCAGGAATATCTACACAATAACAAACTTATGAATATTATAGTAGAACGTTTTAACAATGTAATGGATATCACAGCTGAAAAAACGAATTGAAAACTAGAGAAAGAGAGGTTAGAACGATGTTTTATTTAATTTTGTACTTCTCATTAATAGGTACTATTACTTTCAATACTAAGGGTGAAATCATTTACCAATAAGGAGAAGTGGGAATGATAGTCATTGTAATTGCATCTTTGTTTTTAGATCAATTGGCTTTTATTCAGTAGGTTCATGGTTCGAACCCTACTGAATATACCTATGTTTGACTAACCGTCAGCTAGTATTAATCTGAATAGAAATAGTGTGCTCCAAAGCTTAGTACATATGAACAGGAAATTGGGAAAACAAATTACAAATGAGAGGAGTAAAGTAGACAAGAATGATTATATTCATGAAAAAAGTCTGTGTTTAACAGGCTTTATGTGACTGTAGTAATCTACCCTTATACGTTAAACGACTTTTCTAGTTTCCTAAGAATCTATTATCAAACACACGATTGCAGTTTTACAAAATGGAATATTGCCTGTATAATCATATTGTAGTAGTCATTAGTGCAAAAAATCAAAGCTAATATGTCATTAGTTAGTGTATATGTAGAAGAAACTCGCTAACAAAACGAAATTGTAGTCATTAATTTAAATTCACTTGATCAGTTTAGTGAACCGACTCCACGTGGAATCATTTTACGGTTATTACCAGTCACAAGCCCGGAGTTAAAGGATCTTGTATATCTACTATTAGATGAATTAAGAGTTCGAGATGTTGTACACAATGACAATGAGTGCCGTGCAATTGAACTAACTAACTTACCATTAAACACAACTTATCACTTGAGATGTAGGTTTTCTTCATTATTTTAAAATCTTACGTAAGTAGTAGCTTTTCAGAACAACACTCAGTCAAAGCATGAAATTTTAAACTACGATTTTGCATATATATTACCATGTAGAATGACTCAGTGGCAGAAAAATAATCGAGAAAATTTGAATGTATAACATTGTTTTTGATAGAGTGTAAGGCGAGTTTTTCAAGAAGCTTCCTGATGTCCTTCAGAAGATCAGATACTCAAATGTTGAATTGGTAGCATAGATCGGTAGACTAAGTCAATCTGAAAAACACATGGGTATGCCATTTGGTATCCTAGACTAACGAATGAATAAACAGTGACCAGTAACAACATTATTTGTATGTGTTCAATGTCCACAATCTTCTTAATGACTACTGTTGTGTAAGCAAATAAAAAGATGATTATTTATAACTGTGACGACGGGTGAACTCGAGGAAGCTGTAGGAGGCTTAGAAGGAGCCGAAGACGTTTCATCCAATCACCTTTCAGAAGAATATTCCAGAATTCCAACGTGTAGCCTGATTGGTCAATGCTAATAACCTCATGAATGTGGATTGGTGGACTGTAATGATGATTTCGTTCTTACTAAAAACCATGAATACCTGACAATTTTGTACTATAATGAACACTGTTGGAATAATATTCCTTTCGTTAGCCTTCTGTCTTCTTGCGACTTGGAGGGGTTTTGATGTTTTAGTGCTGTTTTACGTGGTATATCAGGAAATCAGCCTTTAAGATATAACAATAACAAATTTAAATTATTCATTATAGGGTTGTGGAGAATATTGAACTCCATTGAATTTATGAACTAATCCAAGTTAGACAACTATTAAAAGCCTAGAAGCACTAGTTGTGCAATATTGTGGATTGATTAAGATTAGAACTGTACACCATCGAGCCCCAGCTCAGTAGTCTAGAGGTTTAGTGCTTACGTCCTGAGTTAGATTCGTGTGGCGGGGTCGTAAGTGCACATTGTTAAGTAGTCGCATACTAGAACAAAACGACCGTTCAGTGCTGATTGCTTTTTATTAGTGATCTAACCTAGATAGGCTTATGATTTCAATTGACTTATTCAATTTGAACAATGCAGAAAGTGAATTTATTCAAAAAATCACTTACTGTATGTGAATTAGGATTCCATGGATAAACAGCAGATAATGAATTGGAACTTTTTGAACTGGCTGCTGTTATCGATCGACTAGGTAAAGAAATAATTGATGGATCATCACAGCACAATATTTCCACATAGATTAAAAATGGTACCTATATTCGTAAGGAAAAGAAACGTTGGTTAAAACAAAAACAAAATAGATATAAGATGTCATACGTAGAGTCGATCGGTCAATGATCTACATCGTATAAGTAAGAAGTTGTTATGTGTTGTGCCTTTCTTAAGTTACTGTTAATTTATAACGGACCTGTTAGTCAATTCTCTTTCACTTATAATCTAGTTGTATATACATTTTATGTTTCCTAGTTCTGCTAATGTGTAATTGAGTACTTAGCCTATACTATCATTACATGAATTTTAGACTGAACTATTCAAACAGGAGTTATCTACGTACTGAATTGTTGATCTACATTGGATATCGAGAAAACTGTAGCCCAGAAATGCCCTGGCATGGCCGAGGGAGGGGGTGAGTTCGCTCTCCCACTTCAAATGCTCTCACATGGCCATGCGTATATAGCCACTCCCAGGGAAGTACTACTCACTGCCTTCTCGCACCACGAGTGTTGTTTACGAAATTGAGAGGACGAAAAGTGAATATCCGGCGCTTTAACCGGGTTGGTGTATATGGAGGATTCACCTAGGGGAGTTGGAATACCCTGATTACAAACCAATGGTGCATGAACCAATCGTTGTTCACCGGTCACCGTGAGACTGCATCTCCTTACGTTGCTCCATTGCCTTGTGCATCAAACCTTTAGGTAGAAGGCTCTTGACGTGGCCCCCCAAGTAGACCACCTGTTCCAGTCTAGGCACCCAGGCAATATCACAGCCGACATGCAAATCAAGTGACTTGTGTGGTGCATATATATTTGGTGCCCCTTTGTACTAATATTTATGTGTTCAAATAAATAAATAGCTGTTAAGACTATCTCGGCTTCAAGTCAAGGTTATCACTGTTGTATCCGAAATAGAATAAATTATGGGTAACTTGCGGGAACTATTTATGAACTGTTAATATATATATATATATATATATATATATATATATATATATTTCATCATAAACTTTTGTTTCATCTATTATTTATTTATTTTAAAACATAGATATCGGTACAAGGAGGCATCAAATACATATGCGCCATACAGATCTCATTTGATGTGTGTGAGGGTTGTGATACTGCCCGGGTGCCTAAACCTAAGCAGGTGGTATTAGGGAATGATGATGGTAAATCAGTTGTGAATCTTCATCAAACGAGATGGTTGGGTCATATATTTCGCATGCTTGACCACCGGTTACCGCGGCGCACAATTCTGACTAGTGTTGGAGATGATTGGAAGAAAGTTAGAAGCGGGCAAAATAAAACGTGGCGTCAGTGCTTAGTGTCACTAAATTCTGGTGTAAGCCATGTTGGTAGATGCAGACTACTTGATTGGGGTCCGCATGACTATCGTAACCAATGATTGGAGACTCTGTGTGACATGGCTCAGAATCGATCACGATGGCCTCGGTGTATACACTCCCTGTCTTCCCTTAAACTAAGAGATTAAAATTGCATCATATCTTTCTACTAACTAATTCTTCTTATATGCAATCTTTCTTTTATGTATCACCACTCAATTAACTGTTTCTATGAATTCGGTGTTCATCTTGTTGTGTTAATGAGATATGGCAACTTGGACCGATGCACACAGATGTGCCTAGTCCTGACGTTGTAACTGACTGACTGAAATTTCAATCATACGAAAAACACATTTTTTTTAAATTGTGTAAAATAATATTGACATAAAACAAAAAAAAATTTTTTTAGTAAAAGAATATTTGATTATTTCTGTATCAATATTCTTTTGGGTTCTATTTTTGTATTTTGATTACATAGATGAACTTTACGAAATGAATATAAAAGATGTGTGTGTGTGCGTGTAACATAGATGTAAATAATCCTGTTATACCCATATACAAACACGTACATTTACAAAAAGTAAAACAATGGTAAACAGATAATTGCAAAATTGAGAACATTATAATGATAAGAATATATGGAATGATTTATAATAATAATAAACAAAGATGGATAGTAACTAGCAGTGGAATCCAGGATGCGTGTTTCATCCTATTTGAGACTTTTCATCTGGATGAACCTGAATCTCAGAGTTGATGTTCACTCCAAGACTTGAACTGTTCGCACTAAACGCCATTGCATTATCCACTTAGCTAATGAGTTCTGATAGGAACTTTCTTGTGCGATAGGGTGAAGTTTAGATTCATTTTGCATCGTTTGTTCGCATCATCCCACTGATATTTAGGGCTGCAATTGATCAGTCTCTTATTGGTATATGTGCATACCGTACGTATTGTTTTAATTCATAAGAATTACAAGCGGTACTGGGTTCGAGACCCGAGGTGAACATAAACTTTGAGATGCAGGTACATCCAGATGATCAGTCCCAAATAGGATGAAACGTGTATACTGGATTCAACTGCTAGCCACTATTCATCTTTTCTTATAATGCTTATGAATTAACTCAATATTGAGGCAATGCGCACAGTATGCACATATGCCAATAAGTGAGACTGATCAATTGCAGTCCTAAACATTAATGGGAAGATTTGAGTAAACAATACCAAGTGAATTTGATTTACAATAATGATGGTGTACTCAATAGTAGTTGTTACCTTAATGTGGTGGTTATAGGTTTGTAAATCTTGATGATTAAAACACTAGTTCCTCCACATCCAACCTCGTCAGGCGGGTCAATTGATGAGTGATAATACTAAAAGTCATGGACTTAAGATCTAACGGAGAAACGTTATAGTTGACTATACCGGAGTATGATGATAGTAAAATATTCATTTCAAACAACCAGCATCTGCAGACGTGTTGTCTTCTCATGATGGAAGAGGGTCAGGAAGTATTGATATAAAAAAAATATCACATCTCATCTTGTCACATGAATTTTTGTAGTCGGCAGTAAGGCCTTAAAACTACTGAGCTAGTATTAAAAAGAAGAATATATTATATTGTGAAACTATTCGTTTAAATTTAGACGAAAGTTCTTATTTACTGAGCTAGTACATCTAATATTACACACAGAAAAGTTTGTGTGTGATCGGCCTAAAGCAGACATCCTTTGGGATATGTGTTATAACTCCCTAGATGTCGAGAACACTGTTAATTTAATTTCCCTTTTAGAGATTTTACGGATAAGAAATATCCATCCACAATGTGAGCGACGAGGCAGTAACTTTCATTTCCAAACCTTAACTAGCACTTACGATCTTCTTGAGTAATAATGTGATAATTATAGCGGTAAATTCTTATTGTTCAACCACTATTATGTCACAAATTTAAAACAAACATCCCTGTCGGGTTATTAATATGAGTGGATTTGAACATAACTCTGGTTAAACAAGTAGTTTGAACAGGAAGACAAAAATGAACGGGTATACGTTAGACCACCGTTGAAAATGTGGAAGCACTAGATGGCCATTTCATCCTAGTATACGACACCTTATCAGTGCACAACCACGACTTTATACAAGGAAATTGAACCGAGAACCTTCAGTTTCGTGTGTGAACGGGATCATGGATGAGCACAACTGAGGAATCTCATACTGATGCGAAACGCACCTTCAGCGCTTCCAGATTTTTAATGGTAGTCCAACTTAGTTCGGTTCATGATCTCAATGAAACTCAACAATCTCTACAACTTCTTACTGACAAAAAGACATCATTTATCGTTCAAATGTGAGTATGATGATCATACCAATCTGTATCATTCGCTTTCCTGACGCGTACACATACTCCTTACGCACACTAGTGCAAATGATTCTCAGAATTAAAAATCAATAAACCACGACATGAACAACTCAGTAACACGCACTTAAATAAACAATACAGACAAGCAGACAGAGGGATAAACACATGCACAAACAAGAAAACAACGATCGATTAAAATGGTAGCGTAACCTTAGGTGCAATAAAATTGGTAAATACTTCAAGAAATTTGCAAATAGTAGTCAGTAGGAGTTTTTAAGAGATAAATAGTTTTATTTTGGAGTGACGAAGTTAAATGTGTTGTAGGATATACACACAGTTCTCTTTTAATTAACTTAAAATAAAGAACAACGACAGTAATCCAATCAGAGTTATGGTGCTTTTATTGTCAACTATTAATATTGCTGGGTTCGTGTAAACTTTCTTTGATGTGGTTCATACCTGGACAGATCGCATATTGTTTTGAGGACACAAGGTAAGTGAATGATTCAAGAGAGGGAAGTCTATTTTAGATAATTTAATTGCTTGTTCCATCAAGACCATATAAGTCTCTGCCGACGTCACTCTAGACACATTTTATCACCACATAGACACGTCAGTAAGGCATTAGGAATATGTAGTCAGTCAGTCAGTAACAACGTAGAACTTCGTATGTACTTACATCAGTTTGAGTTGCTACACCACATTAGCACAGAGATGCAGTGGTCGATTCAAATCCTGTGGTGGTAGAGGTAGTACGAGTATAATCAGTAATCGGAAACATTAAGGTTTGAAGATGTTATTCAAGGAGTATAATCCAGTGAAATAAATTTGGAAAGAGAACAAGTAAAGGGATAGGAAGAATTCAGAGGATTAAGGTTTGGGAGAACACAAAGAGTGTATGCACCTGCGCCATTGCAAACGATTTTGAGCCATGTCAATGTTTATATGTTTAAATAAATAAGCGACTGGATAGGGAATGACAAGATAAATGAAACATATTCATGAATTCTTTAATCTGATTAAAAGTTTATGAAACCTTACACAGAACCTCAGTACGGAAATTCCACTATAAACGGATGATCTTACAAAAGAAAACCAAAATTGAAATTATTTAATGTAGAGATATTAAAAAAACATAAGAAATAGGATCACTCAGATCATATACATAGTTAACTTACTTTATCCTTGGAATTTAAACATACCGCAGCAGTTGGTGGAATACGTAAAACAATATGACCAGCTTTATTTACTGGTAACCATACCCGTGCAGGTAAATGAAGATTTAAATTTGCTAATTCTGCCTGTAAATGAGCAGCTGTAATTTGTTTGAAACAAAATGCATAAGAAACAAAAGAAAAGAAGAAAAACGATAACATTGTGTTACTATGTTATTGGATTAAATTATAACTAAATCAGTTTGTTATTCTATTATCAATCGATTATAATCAATGCAGAACTTCCTGCTTTGGCCTGAGCACCCGGGCAGTATCCCAGCCTTCACAAATCGAATAATTTATGTGTTTAAATAAATAAATAATAAATAAATAGAACATGACACATGTATAAATCACTCCAAGTTGTCATATCACACATTACCATAGTAAGGTGAAATTATCAGGGCTATTGATAATTCAAAAATTCCTTTGCTTTTCCCTGGCCATCGAATTGATTCCAAATTTATCCTATTCTTCTCTATCAATTCCCAAAATTCAGTTCAATTTCCGAATGTTAAATATCGCAAGTCCTGGGGTTTCTTGTTGACTTACGATAAATTCTATAAACGAACGATTGAAGATCCTTTTAATAAATCGTAACTAATAGGCACTCGAACAGATCGGATACCTAAATCACACAACAACAATTTAACGTTAACAATCTACACGATGCCAGAGAAGAGAGGACTTTCAATCTTACTCTATATTTCGTACAGATGTCAAACGTGAAACAGAACAACCCCGTTTTTATAGTACCATGCAATGACCTTGGGCACCCGTAACAAGGTTACAAAAACAAAGACTATAACAACTAATCAATTGATAGCAAATGTTACTGATGTGAATTAGGAAAATGTTATCGAGGTTATCTACTCAAGAAAGAACTAATATGTAATAACAAAAACGCTTGATCTCTTCTTAACACTATTGATATTTTTAACATGAGGTTGTGGAGATTGTTGAATTTCATTGAAAACACGAACCGATCAAAGTCAGACCACCGCTGGAAACCTGGGAGCACTGGACAGTTGTTTCGTTCTAGTATGGGACTCCACAGCAGTGTGCTTTCCAAGTCTATTGCCCCGATATAGTCATTTCGATACACGTTTTATAGAAAATGACACTCATCAAATTTCAGTTCTTAACGTTAACAACGGGATAATCCAAACCCTGTTTGATGATAACGTAAATATAATACCCATCTAACAGGCTAGTAGTAGGTGATTGCAAAATTCGTTGGCAATTGAAGTAAAATATACTAGGTCAGAACATTAATACTTGGATTCTGGCAAACGCAACTGAAAAGTCTCAAACAAGATGAAACGTATATTTTTAATTACGCTGCTTTCTATAACCCATTTATTCTGGGTTCGAATCTCGGAATAAATATCAACCCTAGGGTTCAGGTGAATCCAGCTGACGAGTCCCAAATAGAACGAAATGCGCATCCTGGATTTCATTGCTAGCCACCATTCATCTTTGCTTATAATGCTTGTGAATTAAGGCAATATTGAGGCAATCCGCACAGGATGCAAGTATGCCATTAAGAGACTGATCAATAGCAGTCCTAATCATTATTGGAAAGATTTAAACAAACAATACAAAAAGAATTAAGGAATTTTCGTGTTGTAATTTTTTACGGTTAGTGAAAAATCTGAGAATATGTGATCTCACTAGAACGAAATCGGTGTTATAGCATAGGAGTAGCAGTATCATCTATCGAGCCTCTACAACGATGTTTGATAGCGACATTATCTGTCTGTGCCAATCATCCTGTTGGTATCTGAGGTTGCTAGGTTAAGGCTAAGAATAAGCGGTTGTATGTGCATAACTGCAACAAACATTTACCGCTATCCGTTCGTTGGGATGAGACGACAAATTACTCACCTAAGTGTTTTTCAGTTTACCTTTGCTCGCCAACTTGAGTGTTAAAAACATCTGGTACGATTACTATATCTGAGCGCCTGGCTTTCTAGAGTTCAGAAAGCTTCTTGTAAAACTCATTTATTCATCCACACGAGCTTCAGTGAGCGGTAGTATGGACGGAAATGACGAAAGGGTAACGATAAGCGTCAATATATCAATGGATTACTCCATGGAAGTTATACCTTAGTTTACACCCATACGAGTCATTATGGCACGTAAGATATCACATGCTTCGTCGTTCCACCATACGCGTGTAATCTTCTGAAATCTCCAACAGAATAAGTAAGACATACATGTTACCAAGCGTCAAATGTTATACTTCACAGCCACACAACAATATAAGGTGGACTGTTTATATAGCATACTTGCAGACAGACATTTCATCTGTGCCACGAGTTGTTTAAGCGAAAAGGAACATAAGGAATACCTCCATAAATATTTCAATTTTGTCTACCACCAACCTACTGTGACTGTATGACACCCTAAAAATAAATGGGTTTTTCAACATGATCCACTGCTCCACTCAATACAGTCAAGCTAGGCATTCAATTAGATGTCCTAAAGTAACACCTTTCATCTAGAGAAAAATAAATGTATCTCGGAACTATTTTGTATTGAAATTCCATTAGTCAACACCTTTAGTGAACACGATCATATCATCTGGATATTCTGAGTTAAAAAGAGAATCCTTGAAGAAGAAAATTAATTCGTGAATAAATTCAAAGGATGAAGTAATCATTTAGTTTTCTGTTACCTGTTGTTTCTCACATACAAACCACAGGTTTAAATCTGAAATCGATTATTGAATGAAACACCTCAATGTATAATCAAGTTTTAAGAAACACTTACTTCTTTGCTCTTTGGGACTAATTGGTACTAATCGACGAGCTATTCTCAAAAGACCATCAACAAAATCCCATTCAGGAATTATTCTAGGGACTAGATAATTACGTAATGTTAAAGCTCGATACATAACTGATGAAGTAGTGTGATAATGTGGACAATGTGGTAAATGAAATGAATTCTCTGGTGATTGTAATTTAACACCATGATTATCATCATCATCATCATCGTCATCACCATGGTCAACAACACCAACACCATCGCAACTACCATGTATACAACGATTAGGAGCTGTCATATACAGACCACTATCAAATGGACTTGACGATTCTGTTGTGGAACTACAAGATTCCATAGTGTGAGTTGGATTGTTCCTTGCTTCATTTATTGACTTTGTTTTAGTGAGTTTTATTGTTGTACGTACTGGTACTCCTTCTAAGGATCCAAGCATTAAATCAGAAGTTATATTATTTGTAGAGTAGGAAGATAAATCGCGATCAACATCATTCCTGTCGTTATTCTCACCACGAACAGTGGCAGTTTGATTTAAAGACGATGATGATTTAATTTGTGCAGAATTTACATCATTCATGATACACAATGATGAATTTAATCGTTGTAAATTCACTGATGAAAGAGAATGTTTCGGAAGACATGACTGTGGTAGAATTTCTTTTGTAATAATCTACAAGCAATAATAGAAATTGAAGAAAAAAAGACTAAATGAGTTTGGAATGAATTAATTTAGAACAGAAAGTAGAAGAAAACCTCTGCGAAGCTCAGAAAGAAGAAAAGCCATCTATTTAGTAGGAGTCGAACGTAAGCAGAGAGGTATTGTGCAGTCCTACGGCTATAAAATGTCTTCGATTCACCTTCCTGCAGTTTATCCCTCTGCCTATCGTTCGTTACCACCTCATCGGTCAGTCAATTATAATTGTTGTTTTCAATGCCTAAAGATGGCGAGTCTAATTTCGGATCGATAAAATCAAACTCTTGATTTGAGCATCAATTTGTAACTTTTATTATCACAGTCATATAATCTCAGATGTTTACTATAAATAGCAAAGATGATACTATTTTTCGAAAGCTGTTTGTGGGTGTCGAGTTTCCAACGGAAGACAAAGAAATCGATAAAGTATGAAGGTTTTAAACTTAGACCCATCCTATATACCGTTGGTAAATCATAAGCCGAAACACATACAAAGAGACCATCTTCATTCACGTTGTATTAAAACAACGTAGTATGATATGAAAAGTATCATTTTACGCGGCACAGATAACAGACATAGTTTATATTGATCTTCAAATTGTAATTCAAGTATCTTGATCACATGAGACAACATTAAATTATAGTTTTGTGTCGAATAGATTTTTCTGATTGTCTAGGTGATAAGTTTGTAGAAAATCACCTATAATGTACAATGTACGTAACATACAGAATGATACAGAGGATGCATCAGAAACTACCAGATGAAGAGTGTATGCGATTGGTCAAGGGATGAGATATAAACCATTGAAACATTTAACTACCTAAGGGATATATATATCTAGATTGTACATACATAAACAAGTATACAGTGTAGCCAAAAAACTCTTCTTGCACCATCTCTCAACTCGAGTACCAGGTGTCTCTCAGACACTGTGGATCATGATACATTAATGTGGATAAAGATTGTAACTATTTGTGGTATGATTATTCTAATCATTGTTATTTAATGGGATTTGATAAATTTAGTAATGAGATTACCGTTTGTAAAGCTGTACAATACCATGTAGTTGTCTGTTTTAAGCTTTAAAAACAGTTTGAGTGAATAATAACTGAGATTAGGTGTAGCAATAACCTACTCTAGTAGAGAACAAACCAACTTCCAGCTGAAGAGGGGATTAGGAGAAGACATTTGAGGTGGATAGAACACACATTGCGAAAACCATCAAACTATACCCAAAAAACAAGCCCTAATTAAGAATCCTTAATGCAAAAGAAGAAAAGGATGACCAGAGAACACATTCCACCGGGAATTGGAGGCAAGAATCAAAAGTAAAAACAGCACTTGGGAAAAAATTAAGAGCCCAGGACAGAGCAGGTTAAAGATTCTTGGTTGTTGACCTATGCTCCACATGTAACAGGTGTAAGTAAGCATGTATTACCCAAACGAACACAGTGGTTCAAATTCGTGCATTATTTAGACTCTTAATTGCGAACTCATTGAAATAACAAATGTAAATCATTGAATACCTGAAAACTAAGCAACTACTGTGAGATCTAGAGCTCCTAGATTCGAGCATACAATCATGATGAATCTCATACTAGGATGAAACAGATGTCTAAGATCGATTCATAAGCTGTAAACTATGAAACATAATATAATCTGGAGAAACTATTTCTTACATTAGTTATATAGCACATTTTAGATGAATGAAAAGTAGTGTAATTAGAAACGTTCATTTTGTCTAGTATAGGAATGATTAGTCAGCTAAATTATATGCACCTTATCACCCTAAATGTTCATATTGAAATTTGGATATGTACAATAACCGCTAACTTCTTCAAAAGGTACATTTTGTTTTGTTTACATATGTTATGTTATAGTTATTGATCCGTGATGAGTGTATTGGTATTGTGAAGTGTGCCAACTTTAATTGATCAAATTGTCTACTGAACTTATAACATTATCTAGTTGTCTATCTATGTGTATATGTGCGCAAGTTTGGTAAAATTAGTTGTACAAAAATATTTTTGACCCTTTCAAAACAACAATATCATTGAAAAGAAAAACAAATAAATTCAATTAAAGTTGACGTAATCACTAACAGTGGAATTCAGACCGCGTGTTTCATCTTATTTCAGACATATTAGTCGAACGAAACTGCATTCCAGTGTTCATGTTCTAACGCAGAGAGACACATATATATTATCGTTCTCTTTAAACGCTTAATGTGTTATTCACTGAGCTGGAAGTGGATACGACACACATTGAGGAAAGCACGCAACTGAGTCACAAGACAAGCCCTCACATGGAATCCTCGACGCCAAAAGAGAAAAGGAAGACCAAAGAACACATTACGCAGAGAAATGGACAGAGACATAAGAAAAATGAACCACAATTGGATAGAACTAGAAAGGAAGGCGAAGGACAGAGTGAGTTGGTTGGAGAATGTTGGTCGGTGGCCTATGCTCCATTGGGAGTAATAGGCAATAAGTAATTAAGTAACTAAGTAAATACACTGTGCTGAAGAATTCAAAATATAAATCAATTGTCAACACTTTTTTACATACCTTATTCATACTCATACTTGATTTAATTGGATTTTGATCAAGATTATTCAAATGTAATTGATGTAATGAATGTCGATTTTCATTGAATAAAGAATTTGTTTGATTTGATAAATGATTTATGATAGGACATATTGAATTTAATGATATTTGATTTGTGATATGATTAGATATAGTTGTTATTGGATTGTTTACACTATCATCAATAGTTGATAAACAAACAGCTGAATCTTGTGATGATGACCAACGATTTGGATTAGAAATGATTGTTGTTATTGATTGATTCGTTTCAGTATTATTTATTAGATCTAACTGATCCATAACAACACGATGTCTAGATTTATCTACATAATAATGATAATTTCTTAAACCTATACGCGCATGCGGGTGGGGTATTGAAAAGAAAAGATAAAACATGGAATGCAATTTCAATTTAACATTGAATAAATTTATAAATACTGTAAAGTAAAACAACTAATTTTGCTCAAAATATTTGACTTAATGAGAATATTGAGGTAATCCGTACGGGATGCTCGTAGGCTAAAATGAACTGATCAATTGTAGTTTTAAATATGAATGGGAAGATTCAAATGATCAATACAAACGAATCAAAATTCAGCCTATTGCACAAACCAGTAGCTACCTGAAATAGGTGGTTAAGTGGAGGATGTGTTAGTATTTGAAGCGAATGGTACTGGTTTCGAGTCCCGGAGTGAACAAAAACATTGAGATACAGCTATATTCATCTGATGAGTCGCAAATAGGACGAAACAGGAGTCCTGGATTTCACTGCTGGCCACCATTCAACTCAGCTTACAATGGAGGAATTGGTTTCAAGTAGATAGTGATGATGTTGTCTGGGATGATATTCAGATGTTTGTAATTCTACTAACCAGCTCAGAAAATGCAGCGCTACTAATGACTAGTTTTGAGAAGTCATTTCCAAAGTTATGATGAGGAGTCGTAACCAATGGAGTTCGAACATGTTGTAACAAGACAGTCACTTACCAAGGACGGATGACGGTTGCATGATTGGTTGAAATTACACATGTAAACTAGTGGATGTCGGCTCAATGGTCTGATGGTTAGGCGCTATTCGCAAAACCTTAAGGTCTTGAGTTTCATACCTGATGAAGTCATAGATGTGCATTGCTAAGGAGCCCTATACCTGAGAAGAACAACTATCTACTCTGTCCTGATTTTCACTGATTGTGCCCAACTGTAATCAATCTGTGATGTAAAGCTACGAAAATTCCATAGTTTCCACAGACCCCCTGAAGTAATAAGCCTTAAAAGCATTTATTAAGTTGTACTAAGACATATACGAACAACAGAAGAAATATATTCAGAAGACATAGTTTATAGACAGTTATCATTGAATTCTAATGATCACTTTATGCACTAAGCCATGCTTACAATCATAGTAAGCAGAATAGAATGAACGGCCAAAATACAGTTACTACCGCTATGATAAAGTTGAACTGTCAATATGAACCAATTACTTACACTGGTAGTTTATGTCAATATGGTAGAACTGTCGCCACAGTTGCGTTTATATTGAAAGCTATTGTCTCAGATATGAATTCGAGAACCACTAAAACAACATACTATAGTTGATTTAATCAACAAATACTTGTTCTATTCTAATTCCATTCAATATCGCAGTAAAACTAATTACTTAAACCTTGATATCACATTATAAAGTGACTACTGACTGTTGAAATGATGTTTGTCGATACTAAATGAAGACATCTATGAATCCGATGTTCATCTTGTTGTGCTAATGAGGTAATGGCAACTTGGACCGATGCATATATGTGCCTGGTCCTACGTTGTAGCTGACTGATTTTTTTATTATTTTCACCTGACTAATGAGATAATATTGATTATTCAATGTTCGAGCACTACACATACATATATATTTGTGCATAATTTTTTTTAAAAATTGCCACTTATTCACATCAGATGATTGTCTGATGTTCATAGGATTTTCTTAACCGTCACAAATATACATAGTTACTAATATGTATGTTTCCTAAGTACACACAGTAAAACAAATGTGTTTATTACTTTTCATAAAATCGATTCCTCACTTTCTTACCACATAAACACAAACACACAAACACGCGAGTAAAAAACAATTAATAATAATCATAATCATAATAAATAGAATGAACCAGTGCATTAATGACAATCATTAAAAGGTAGAAGGAATATGATTAACGACAATAATGGTGTAATTAACACACAAACGTTTATTGATTAAAAAGAAAAACAAATTTTAAATCTCTCTTATGCTTTTAGTGGGTTTTTTTTGTTTTTCCTGTTTCTAAGTTGATAAACTTGTGTTATGGATTACAATACAAACTAAGAAAAATATTTATTATAGAGTGGTGTTCATTCTTTAAATATTCTGATACAGTTAAGAAGCCACCAAATGCCCTGGTATAGCCGAGAGTGAAGTGGGCCCACCCTACCTCTCGAAATGCTCTCACACAGCCACGCGTATATAGCCTCTACAAGCGAAGTCCTACTCACTGCCTTCTTGCACAACGGGTGTTGTTTACGAAAATGAGATGACGAAAAGCGAATGTCCGGCGGTTTATCCGAATTCCAAAACAATGGTGCACATGGGTTCCAGGATCCTGAGGGATTAAATGAAGTATGAACCAATCATTGGTCACCGGCTACCATGGGACTGCATCTCCTTACGTTACTCCACTGCCTTGTCGATCAGACCTTTAGGTTCAAGGCTTCAGGTGTGGCTTTCTAAAAAAACCACCTGCTTCAGTTTGGGCACCCGGGCAGTATCCCAGCCCTCACACAAATCGAATGATTTATGTGGCGCATATCTATTTGGTGCCACCTTGTACCAATGTTTATGTGATTAAATAAATAAATAAATAAAAACAGTTGAGAATGGGGTAGATCCGCCTTTTCCTACCTTGAAAAACTCTTATGAAATTATGTGTTTATAGTCTATGTTAGGGGGAGTTCTGCCGACTGAGTTTACATGAAGAGGGTACATAGGCTCTGGGATACCAACGGAACGAATGAAGAACGAACCTGTTTTGGCTACAGGCTATTATGGCATTGTATCTACTGGCATCGTTTTATTGCTTTATAGATTAGACTTCTAGGTTAAAGGTTGTAGGAGCGACCCACTTAAGAAAGCCACCTGCTTTGATTTGGGTGCCTGTAACGTAGATCATCTATAATTTATGTAAGCTTACATAAACCCCTTCGACGAAACAATAATAATAGTTTAACTAGTTATTTGTGGAAGTTACATCAGTTCTATGATGGTTTTTACCAGGGACTAACCTCGGTCGGATGAACATTACGACTGAAGTTAAAACTGTGAAACATTATGGTCTAAAGTTATGATATTCATCAATAAAATAAGATAGCCTTGTGCACGATACCTAATATACCTGAGAACATGTACTTGTTAGAATTTCCAAAATAGGACAAGAATTTACTAAAACAAACATAAATTCTTGAACGAGGGATTAAAAGTGAAATCATCTAATTTTAAGACAAGTGCCCCAAATGACCTAGTACGGTCGAAAGTGGGAAGAGTCAGCTCTCCATCTACAAATGCTCTCACATGACCATGTGCAGACAACCACTAACAAAAAAGTCCTACAGACCTCCTCGCAAACAAGGTGTTGTTTACGAAATTGAGAAGATGAAAAGAGAATGTCCGGCACTTTAATAGAGTCGGCGGACACGGAGGATTCATCTAGGGGAGTTGGAATACCCTGATTACAAACCAACACTGCACGTGGACTACAGGATCCTGAGGAAACACATGACATATCAATTTATTGTTGATCACTGACTATCACAAGACTGCATCTCCTAACGTTGCACCACTGTCTTGTGGATTAGACCTCTAGCTCAAACGTTCGGGGAGTGGCCCCCTAAGAAAAGTACCTATTTCTGTTTGGGCGATCGGGCAATATTCCAACCCACACACAAATCGAATGAAGTGTAGTGCATATATATTTGGTGCCTCGTTGTTTCTGTGTTTATATGAATAAATAAATTTAAGACAAATCTTAGCTTTAAACATCGCTGAACGACCTATTGGAATGAAGCATAACCGGGTGATGCAACCACTTGACTCACATTGATTTCTTTTTAAAAACTAACTAATTATTAATCCGCATATAGGCAAATAGAAATTTAACAAGACCAACAAAGAAAATACAAAATGATGTCAATATATTTTCATAAATAGGTGAAACATTTTCCTGTCTGTAAAACGTGTTGGTTAAGTGAATGCGAGTTGTTGTCACAGAAAAACTATTCATGATTCTTATCAGAAGGGGTTTGTGGAGATCTTAGAAATTTCACAGATTGAAGTCATGAGTCAATTGAAACAAGACCATCATGGAAAACCTGGAAGCACTGGACGGACGATTTGTCCTGGTATGGGACTCCTCAGGAGTTCGCATCCACGATCCCGCACTCCGCGAGGTTCAAACCCAAGATCTATTCATGATTTATTAAAACCGACGGATAACCTATACCCTTTTTAATAAAAATTTTTTGATAATGAAAGGTGAAACAATGTAGCATAAGATTAAACCAACTGTGTGTACAAGGGGGGGGATGGAGAGGATATGAAGGCAATGAAATTCGACAGAAGCTGGCAATTTTGAAGTACATGGCAGGGATTTGGTTAATTCGTTTTTCATCTACGAAGGAATCCCATGTTAAGACAAAACAGCTGTTGAGTGCTTCTTGGTTTGCAATGGCTGTTTAACTAAGATTAGTTTTATCATGTAAAGTGATAATTATGTCCACGCTAGTGGTTAACTTCAAGAGATAATTCTCGAAACTTTAGTGAAAAGCCGTTACCAATGGATTTTAATTATGGCAGATGTGAGACAGTTACTGATCAATGTAATTAGAAGATGGTCGTACGTTATTGTTCTAGATAAGTATATCATTAGATTCCAGCCTAGTAGTCTCAAGGTCATGTGTTCGCCGAGATGCCTGGATTCGATCCTTGATGAGGTTATGGATGCAAGCTTCTGAGGATTCCGTATCAGGATATAAAAGCTTCCCACTACTTCTTAGTTTTCAATGATTATGTAATTAAGATCAGTTAGTGATGTAAATTACAGAATATAATCAATCTAAGTATTGACTAAAAAATAATTTATCACTGGAATAAAACATATGAAGTAATTGAATAATATCTTACTTACTTGTTACATCAGATGTACTTCGTTTATGCCCGATATTATGATGAATATTTGGAGATAATTTACAATTAGATGATGGAGAAGAAGTATTATGTGTATGGTGAGTATTAACATTATTATACGATCCCATGTTGTAGCTAAAATAAATATATACGAAAGTAACATGGTAAAGTAATCTGTATGAAGTGAACGGTTTGCTTAATTCACTCTTGCTTTGTTTTATAATAATCAGTAATATTAAAGACCAACGTAATATGTTGTATCAGTCAAACAGATACAATGTAGGACTTAGCCCATATGTGCATCGGTTGATGTTGCTACACATCAGTACAGGGAGTAGAAATCACCAAGATCAATACCATAAACCCTGATTCATATCATCAAAACCATATAGTCAACATCTACTAACAAGGCTCAGTCCAACAGCGAATGACTTCATAGACTAATCCCAGTCACTTCAAACTTGCTACACCATCAAGCATTGCACGGCGAGGTATGCGGTGTTTGAACACACATATTGCATACCCCAATTATTTCACTCGATGAAGATTCACTATACTAGCGATTGATTTGTTATCTTCATCTAATCTAGTTCCAATAATCGTTAACTCGGTAGTCCAAACGTATTCATGCAGTACTAATAACCTACTTTTAAAATTTGTTTTACAACCACGAAATAAATTGTTACACATCATACTCGCCTTTCGGTTAACAAATCGCCCTGTTCAATATATAACACCAAGATGGAACTATAATGTATCAGTATACTTAATACTTTTTAGGTTAGAAAAAAAAGGTTTAAATGAACAGAAATTAGTCAATAACATAGGAAAAATTATAACTTTACATAGATACACACACGCACACACCTTCCATTTACTATCGATTGTGGAATAAAACTACCCCATGTAGTCTCATCAATCGGTAGTAATAAATCCCGTAAAGTTTGTGCCGTATACACGAATCGATTATCATTGGACAATTCTGTCGAATTATTAGTCGTAGTTGTAATAGGAGTAGGAACCACATTTGTATTGTAATTTTCATCACCATTGTTATCATTATGATAATCTAATTCTTGTAAAGGTGTAATAGCCGATGAACTAGATTTTAATTTAATAAATTTACTATTATTATTATTATTTATTGATTGAGAATTATCACTGGAATTCATTAAATACAATTGATTAGATACATAAGAGAATATTGGCATTGATGATGGACGATTAAGTAGAATTGATGAAACACGTTTCAATGGATTATATGAATGTGAACTGAATGCGTCCAATAACCAAATAAGATTTATTGCAAATGAAACAGATTTTGTACATCTGAAATGGGAAAAAAGATAAAAATGTATGATGTGGATATATACACACGTAACTTAATCGAGAGAAACCATGACTAGCGGAGTTCAACGGTGTCACATGTGGAGAAGGTAATCGTCAAACACAAAGGAAGATGTTTGAACTATTACGCCAGTTGATTGAAATTAGACAAACACATCATAGGACATCAACTCAATGATCTCGAGGTTAAGCGTTCGCCACAAAACCGAAGGTCGTGAGTTCGATTTCCCCTGTGGTGATGGAGGCTCGCTGCTAAGAAGTTCCGTGCTAGAATGAAACAGCTGTCCATTGCTCATATACTTTAATGGATGCTTAAATTAGATTGATTCATGATACCAATAACATTCAATAACCTCCATAGACCCCTATGTTGATCGACAGAATTTGATCAGCACTAAAGAATTAGACAAACATAACGTTGGTCACTATGCAGTGACTATGCATTTGTAGATACGTCTCAGTCCTATGGAAAGTAAACAAAAGCCTGAGTACTTCAATGGTAACATTTCAGACTATGAAGCTATGTGACGCAGGTTCAAATCTCATAGGAAACACCAGAATACTCAATATTACGGGGATGCCTTACAAACGATTGCCAACTACTTTTAACTGTCTAAAATATAAAAGCATACAAATTAGATATTGATCCACGGTCAATCACATAACTTTCAGCAACTCCAACAAGTAATTTATAAGCAATTGGGACATAACAAAATCATGCAACTACCCCATCAATTTGCAAGACATTAATGCTAATCTTAGATACTATAATCATCAGGATGGATGGAAAACTATCAGAAAACACAAACAGATCGAACAGGGATCAGATACTTGCTTACAACAGAAGCAACTGAGTAAAACAAAGGATTCCAAGACAGTCACTGTTCAAAGGAGTGAGAGATCATTACAGGACAAACATAAAAAAACCCACAATCAAATTGTTTTCTACACAAATAACTGTCTTTACAGTTTTATTTATAAATCCCTGTTAGATCAGTCTATTATCTCTTAAACATCTCTAAAATATCTTAGGGTGGGAGGTGATCGACCATCTAAATACATATGTAACAAAATTTCAGAAAGTATAACTACGATTCCAAAATCCTTTGTCAACATACAACCATTTCAATGAATTTTATGCATACCAAAGAACTTACTTTTAATCCCGACCGTTGTTACTACCTTGACGTGGTGGTCGGGCTTGCCTATCGTGATGAAGCGACCGAGCTATACTGATTGGAACAACCGTTCCTCAAGGTCCTACCATGTCAGACAGGTCGGTTGAAGAGCGGTAAGACTAAAATCAACAAACCCAAGGTCCGAAGGCGAAGTCGTACTGCTGACTGTTCAGAGGTGTGACAGCAGTAAGGTGTTTCCTTCGGACAACCAGCATGACAGCGATGCTGCTTTCCCACAAGGAGGGGTAAGGTTAGAAAAGATCGACCCTAAAAATGTACACCTCGCCTTATCCCACGGATATCCGTCTCCGGCGGTAAGGCCGCAATAAGTACGAAGCTAACACAAAAATTGCCGATAAAAAGGTCGTGTGTGACCGACCTCAAGCAGTTGTCCCTTGGGCACTGCGGTCACACTCCCAGGTCACTAAGACCACTTCTAATCCAATTTCCTCTTCAGGTACCTCCAGAAGAACCCTTTTACAGTGTGGGCAACCTGGAAGTGATAACCGCCCTCATACCTCTAAAAGCACTCAAGACCACTGGATTCATAATCAACCCCCTCTTCAATTCCTATTATTCCTACTACATCAACTTCAAACTCTAAACTTCTTTTTTTCGGCTTCCCCTTCAAGTGTCACCATAGTCAACGATTCAAGTGCTCAAAACACTGTCCCAGGTCTACTGAAACCTCGCTCCACACTACATATTGGAGCCTTCAATGTACACACCCTATGTCAAATCGGTCAGCAGGATTCCTTGGCTAAAACCCTAGAATCTCCTACCACTGATGTATGCTGTGTCACCGAAACACGCATACAGGATCCCAGTGTGGTCATTCACTTGACCTCACCTCGGCAAAACGGAGAGCCAACGAGATACACCCTCCGTGTATCTGGTGACCCGATGGCCAGCTCTCGTGGACTGGCAGGAGTAGGGATAGCACTAAGAATGAGGGCTGAACAAGCACTGTTAGAGTGGATCCCGGTCAACAGTCGTCTATGTGCTGTCCGGCTAAACGGCTCCGTAAGAACTCGGAAGGATAGGGACACACGTCGTTGCCTTTTATCGTTTCTGCCTACGCTCCCACCGATTGCAGCTCAGATGAAATGAAAGATGAATTTTACAGAAAGCTCTCTGAACTTCTTCAGAAAGCTAAACGTTCAGACATAGTACTCGTTGGGGGTGACTTTAATGCTCAGATAGGTAGTTTAAACCAAACAGAAAGGCATTTAAGTGGGTATTTTAATATACCGGCGCAACGAACAGATAATGGTGATCGTCTGCTGCAACTATGCTCAGACAATCGTTTATTTTTAGCAAACACAAATTTTAAGCATAAGGAAAGACATCGTCTAACATGGCGACCCCCTACACCAAACCAACGATGGACTCAAATAGACCATATTGCCATCAGTCATCGTTGGAGAGGGTCGGTAAAAGATTGTCGCTCATTCTGGAGTACCTGTTCGGACTCCGACCACGCCCTAATACGGGCACGCATCTGCTTGCGCCTCACCGGACGCAAAAAAGCCACATTAAAAAGACCCATTAGAACTGAGTTGAGTAACGAGAAAACCAAAAGTAAGTTCCAGGAACAACTGAGGTAGTTCTGAAAACGAGGCTGACCCAGATGTTGCATGGAAAGGCATACAATCAGCTGTAGAAACAGCAATGAAATATATTAGTGACTTAAACCACAGAGTTACAAAGAACCAGTGGATTTCTTCAAAGTCTATCACACTGATGGATTCTCGCAACCTCGTCCCATCAGGTTCCGAACATGATGAAGAGCGACAACAAACCAGATCTAGGTTAAAATAAAGTCTAAGAAACGACCGTGAGCAGTGGTGGGCAACGAAAGCAAAAGAGATGGAAAAGGCGGCGACTATAGGGAACACAAGACAGCTCTACAGACTAATAAAAGAAACTGGAACTAATAAGCCAAGTGTACGTGAGATTATTTTGGAAAAAGACGATACTCTCATCTACTCCCAGCCCAGACGTTTAGAACGATGGGCGGAACACTTTAAAGAACAGTTCAGCTGGCCTTCAGCGACTCTACAACTACTCTCCATTCCAAGACAATGTGAATAGAACATTGAAGTAGGTCCTCCAACTCTAGCAGAAGTTCAAAAGGCTATAGTTAATCTGAAACGAGGAAGTGCAGCTGGTCCAGATGGATTGGCTCCAGAAGTCTTTAAGGATGGTGGTCCAATTTTAGCGATTAGGCTGACTAATATTTTAGCTAAGATCTGGGAGTTAGATGTTATCCCATCTGACTGGTCGCAATCACTTATCGTCCCAATATATAAGAAAGGGTCAAAATCATCTTGTGACAACCACAGAGGGATTAGTTTAACAAATATAGTATCTAAAATACTAGCCTCAATAATAATAAGACGCCTAACCAAGACCCGTGAACTGCAAACACGAGAAAACCGAGCTGGCTTCATACCTGGTCGTGGCTGCATCGACCACAAATTCATCATTCGTCAGGTTCTAGAACACAGGCATACTAATCGGCGTCCGACAATGGTGGTCTTTCTTGACTTAAAAGCAGCATTTGACTCTGTAGACCGCGAGATTCTGTGGCAGTGTCTGTCACTGAAAGGCGTACCCCAGAAGTACACAAACCTTGTAAAGGCTCTTTACTCGAACACTAGTAGTCGAGTCAGGGCTTATGGCGAACTGTCATCTACTTTTGCAACCTCAAGTGGTGTCCGTCAAGGCTGTCCACCTCCTCCATTTCTGTTTGACTTCATCATAGACCTATTGATGGAAATAACATTCTCGTCGACTGAATTCTCGGGTATTGATCTCCTTCCAGGAGGTCCACTTATCGACTCAGAATACGCAGATGATATAGTCCTGTTTGGTGAAGACGCTGATAAAATGCGGAGTCTTCTGATAGCACTAAGCAACAATGCCAGAATGTTTGGAATGCGCTTCTCTACCTCTAAATGCAAGTTGTTGCTTCAGGACTGGCCTGCGTCAACACCTGAACTAAGGATAGGGAGTGAAGTGGTCGAACACGTTGGCAACTTCACTTATCTTGGAAGTCTGATCAGCCCTAATGGGCTGGTATCGGACGAAATCTCAGCACGGATTCGAAAAGCTCGTTTGGCTTTTCCCAACTTACGTCACCTTTGGCGAAGGCGAGATATCCGTCTATCAAATAAGGGACGAATATACTGTGCGGCAGTCCGTTCTGTTTTACTTTACGGCAGCGAAACATGGCCTTTAAGAGTAGAATACACCCGTAAGATACTAGTATTTGACCACAGATGCCTTAGAAATATTGCTGGCGTCTGTTGGGATCACCGGGTAAGTAATAGTGAGGTTAGACGCAGGGTATTAGGGAATGAGGGTAAATCAGTTGATGAGGTTGTTAATCTTCATCGACTGAGATGGTTGGGCCACGTGTTACGTATGCCTGAACACCAATTACCGCGACATGCAATGCTAACTGGTGTAGGGGATGGTTGGAAGAAAGTTAGGGGCGGCCAAACCAAAACGTGGCATCAGTGCTTGAAGTCACTAACTTCTAGTCTGAGCCATGTTGGTAGATGCAGACTACTTGATTGGGGTCCGTGTGACTTTCGTAACCAATGGTTGGAGAATGTTGGTGACATGGCTCAGAATCGATCACAATGGCGTCGGTGTATACACTCCCTGTCTTCCCTTAAACTATGAGATTAAAATCGCTTCATATCTTTCTTTCTACGAACCAATTCTTTATTCCGGTACTGTATCCTTATATGCAATCTTTCTCCTATATATTACCACCTTTAACCTAACCACTCCTATGAATCCGGTGTTCATCTTGCTGTGCTAATGAGGTATGGCAACCTGGACCGATGCATATATGTGCCTGGTCCCACGTTGTAGCTGACTGACTGACTTACTTTTAATTGTGTTCCATCGATCAAGTTGTGATGTGGCCACTAGTCTAGATGAACCGACGTATTCTGTATTATGTTAAAATATTAGGCACCTGAGCGTTACAAGAGATCAAACGCGACCCGAATAGCTCGGTGGTAACATATCAACATACCACAGGGAATATCACTTCCTTACAGACCGCAGGTACGTCTTGGTGATGAGTACCAACCAGCACGAAACCTAGACTAAGTAGGGTTTTCTGTCGGCTACCTTCGGTCAACTACCATCTCAGCATGGTGCAAGTAACGTCAAGTCACTTAGATTAATGACTATATTGTAGCTTGACAAATAAAATTCGAGCAGCACCAAATGACTAGACAAACATGACATCGCTATATACTCAATAATCAATCAACTGTGAAGTGACAATATTCTTTACCATAAACAGGATAATATTGGCTGACAGCGTGTAAGATAATTGCATTTTAGAATGTAAATAACCAAACTGAATAAATATTTTGAAGTGGGTTTTTGATGGAAAACAATTAAAGTAGTGAATTAAGGTTTCTTGGTTGGCTTCGAAATCTTTTGAAATTAATGCCGCTCATAAATAAATACAATCATTTCGTTAAATTTTATGTAAACCAAAGAACTAAAGATACCATAAACCTAACAGTATTCACAAGTAAAATTATACAAAAAGGAGACAAGTACTAACTGTATTTGAACTCAACTCGGCCATGAACCTAGAGATATAGATCAGCAGTCAAGCAACAAGATATCTTCAATATTGATCCGTTAGCATGTGAATTCCATCGAAACACTTAACAAAATACTCTGGTCTATAGATTCAGTTTATAAAATGGAGGTTAACCAGTTGTATGATCAGAGATTAAATTAGTGGAACAATCAATCTGGATACTTTTAAGGACAATTAAACAAGGTCATTAGAATGAACCAATTTAACATTTATGGTTGTAATTAACAATGACACCTGAATAGACAATGGTGGGAGCTTCACAATAAAAGCATCTAGGTCAGACAGAAAATTACTCTTGACCACCACTCACGATATTATGGTTATTGCCACACCATAAAATACGACGTATGTTATCATCAATATAAAAACATAAAAATACTTACCGATATATAAAATAATTAGTTAAATGTTCAGCTAATGAAGGCGATTTCTCATAAAGAGAAACAAGTTGTAATAAGTAAAAGTCTACATCAGATTCTGGAAAACCGAATAATCGATCAGCTGTTAATAAAGTGAAGGAAAATGAATAAAAACTACATATATATGAACTGATCAACAGCTGAACTCTTTTTCGTATACAATGGAATATACATTGAAACCTTTAATGGATAATTGTAATAGCCCCCAAATGCCCTGGTACAGCCAAGAGTGGAGAGAGTCAGCTCTCCCTCTCGAAATGCTCTCACATGGCCACGCGTATATAGCCCCTGCAAGGGAAGTCCTACTCATTGCCTTCTCACACCACTGGTGCTGTTTACAAAATTGAATGGACGAAAAGCGAATGTTCGGAGCTTTAACCGGGTTGGTGGACACGGAGAGTTCACCTAGGAGAGTTGGAAAACCCTGATTTCAGACCAATGGTGCACATGGGCTCCACGATCCTGAAGGAACAAATGGCGTATGAACCAACTGTTGGTCACCGGCTACCATGGGAAAGCACCTCCTGACGTTGTTCCATTGCCTTGTGGATCAGACCTTCAGGTCGAAGGCTCCGGGTGTGATCACCTAAGAAAATCACCTACTTCGGTTTAGGCACCCGGGCGGTATCACAGCCTTAACATAGATCAAATGAGATCTGTGTGGCGCATATGTATTTGGGGCCTCACTATACCAATAACTGTGTGTTAAAATAAATAAAAAAATAATTGTAATAGCATTTCATTGTTTTGGTAATGAAAGTATATATAGATAGAGATACGTATTCTTGTATTTCGGGCTTGACAAGCGTATATTCTAGACTAATAAAGAGATTTGACACTAGTGTACAACATTTTCATCTTTTGTATGTTTAATTTATCAAAACTTAAAGTTATTTCTAATACTTAACTCGCTTGAATAGTAGATAGTGTGGTAATAATGAAGAATGGATAATTTGTCAAGTGGATTTTTATCAACAAGGCTTTGAATTATACCTCATTGCCCAAACCGAAATAGATTGAGCAGGATGAGAAACTGCAACCTAGTAATTAAAAGCCAATTGCTGAAATTTAATTGTTCTTCGAAGCGAGAAAAGTAGTTTCCATAGACATAGAGAGTTCATCATTTGTGTCGTGCATTATTTGCCCACTCTGGGACTGGTTGGAAGAAGCGGAGAGGTGGTCAGTGCATGACATGGTGTCGTGGTATGAAAGAAAGCTGCAAAGGACTGACTTCTGTTGGTCCTTCACGACTCCCTGGTTGGGGTCCGAGAGATGGTGCTACACAGTGGCTAGAGACGTTATCAGATATGGCTCAGAATAGAAGCCAGTGGCGATCCTGTTGTAACCTTTTACTTTCTTCATAAAAAGTGGTTGTCTCCCTAACCTGAAAGATTTTTTTTCCGATTGCACCTTTCCGTTCCCTCATTACTACCACACTACCTTACACCAATCTCTTCGTTATTTTCTTTTTTTTGCGCTCCTTAGCTTTTTTTTCTTATTTCTCTTCGAATTCTCATTGTTTTGTGTGGCACATATATATTGGCGCTCTCTTGTACTAATATTCATGTGTTCAAATAATAATAATAATAATAATAATAATAATAATAATAATAATAATAATAATAATAATTGCTGAAATCACACAAGCAACAATCCTTTAATTTACAAATCATTATGATACGATCGGCCTTAACATATAGTTTAAAACAAAATTATCATTGGGCAGTTAACATAACTGAGAAATAAATAGATTGTCATTATAAATTGAGTTATTGGATCATGAATCGATCTAAGTTAGACATCAATTGGGAACCTATGGTCACTGGATGGTTGCCACGTGGAGTGGTGACTTGTTGGTCAGGGTCCTTGACTTTCGGTCAGAAAGACAATAATTTGGACTCCACTCCATCAACTTCCGTTAGGGTAACCGGGTAGTCATTAGCCCTTGCACTTTTAATGTGGCCTATACCCAAGTGCCTAATAATTGAGTTTTTTTAGTGTTTCCACGAACCTACTACTGATTAACAATAAATCAAACTTACCCAAATACATTTGTACATTCACATCCTCTGATTTAAATAAATATTGAATTGTCATATCTAAATTAAATAAGCTTGACGTAAATAGACGTCGCAACCAAGATGATGAATTTGAATCATTGAGTATACCGCATTCATCTGTAATAATAATGATAATAATATATATTTAGAGAATATTTATGTTATTATTTTATGGATATTTAAAATACTTCTATTTTCACTGTTTTTGTCAGTTGAAAGAACTCTGAATCGTTATTTAGGTAAACGGTTACGAAAACTTTGAAACAACTTCACATAATCTAGTTGGAGAAGCCGGGTAACATAATTAGCTCTAACAAAACAGCTGTGGTTTAATAGGATCAAGAAAATTTCTAGTTATTAAGTGGAACGGAATGTCATGTTTGTTATTTAGGTGGCGAGGAAATTTTAAAGTATGAATATATATGAAGTATTAGTAGTCCGGCCTTTTGGTAAAAGGTATGAAGTATCACAATATAACTGAACCTAAACTTTTAGAAAACTTGAAGACATTTTTAGACAACAGTCAGAATTACTTAAATCAAATGAAACAGATAGACAGTAAAAGAAAGGTACATTACTTATACTTTTAATAATACACGCGAACAGTACTGAAGAATTAGAAAACAAAAAAAGTTGGTCTGTATGCTTAATAACTATTGCAGGACAATTTCATTGTAATGATTCGACGGACATGTATATGGTGAACAGAACTAGCATTCTATGATCGTCTATATGCTAAATGACACGTAATCATGTTTACTTATATTTGATATTTTGTACCTAAGTGTTAGTTGATCGAATAAATCTGTTTTGCTGAGCAGGCGAATCACCTTGAGGGTTAATGTTAATAATCCGGTCTCGTCATCAGCTGTTAGTCAGTTACATTTTACCCCCGTGTATCACCATTCTGTCACCATTTTATTCATTATTTTAACAACCAAAACTCGTCGGTGAATTTGAAACTCAACCTCTATAATATTTTATTGTCTAAGAGTGATCCTAAATAAGATAAATCATAAAGATTTGGTGAATAAATCAGACTGGAAAATACAGAAGTTAAAAAACTAACTCCGAAGTAATGGTCTACGTAGACTCCAGAACAAACGACACCGACCACAGGATAGATGCAGCTCTTGATGTTGCTTTAATACCAACTTTCAGGCTAAAAGCTCGGGTCAAATTTAATATCGTATAACTTACTACCAGAGTACATATCCATGTCCTTAAATATAAGCCGAAATTCTTTTGAAATCGACTAAAACTACCAAGGAACACCTAATTCGAACTGGTTATTCATGAAGTATCATATGCCATGCAAAAACTCTAACCCCAAATAATATCAGCGGAGCTCCTAAAACAGACTCATGGTGTCAGATTAGATTTTCATAAGGGAGTTAGTTTCGCATGTTTGTGATATTTTTGTACATGCGATTAATGATTCTCTTCGCCTTAATTTTAAACTCCTCTCAGTAGTTCGTTTCTTCTACACGTTTCGATATGTGCAGATAGCATTAGGTTCCTAAGTGATTAATTCTGAAGAGCCGTATATCGACGTGAAATAAACCTGAATTAATGCATACCAAAACGAATTGAACAGCTTTATAGTTGGCAACCTTGTGGCACCAAATGCCCTGGTACGGTCGAAAGTGGGTACAGTCAGATCTACATCTCCAAATACTCTTACATGGCCACGTGCAGACAACCACTGACATTAAAGTCCCACTAACTACCTCGCGGAGAGGGTGTTGTTTATGAAATCGAGAGGAAGAAAAGAGAATGTCCGGCACATTACAGCATTCACTGCCCAGTTGCAAGTTTTAAAAAATTGGGGACATAAAAAACACATGATGACTTTAGTAATAGACATTTGCTTGTCCTACTTCATAAAACATGAAGCGAAAAATATTTATCATACTAGAAAATTTTCATCGTATACTAAATTTTTACTAGCATAAATACATGAAAATGCAAATAATGTGGTCAGTAAACAATGTAGCACTGTGAAATGAAAATATATTTTATTTCTGAACCCACCGAAAATCACGTAAGAGCCCCGAATTTAATTGACTTATTTGCACCGACAATCTCTTAATGAAGTATAATAACAACTAAAAGATACATGATTATTAATACCCCTAAAATATCGGAGGTATGCTCGTATTGGTGAGTGACCACATGGAGTGCTAGAGTAACCGTATTACCAAATATACATCACGCGTACGTACGACGTTTAACTAATGTAAAATGAAACCCATAGAAAAGACGAAACCATAAAAACACCGGGATTGAGAAACGTTAGTATAGGTATAACATCCTGAAGACCTTGAGCGATGCCAGCCAATCAGGAAACGGAGCCTAGTTACAAAGCATTGACAACAAAAAGCAATATTACAACACTGGAATAATAACTCTGATCTTAATAACCAACCCTCATGTTGAATTGCTTTTGGCAGTAAAAGAAAATGTTTCGTAGGATAGGACTAGGGATAGTGTTGTGAGTCAGGATTAGCACCGCATGGAGTTTTCTTCACCAATTAACACCATAGACAATGAAAAAAAGTTAGGATAATGTATCACGAGTTAAACTGGAGGTCTAAAATAGTTTCGCACCTTGGGATATAAGTTTTCATCACGAACTGATGTCATTTGTAATCCCATACATTTTCAACCCTATGTTTACAAACATAAGCTTGGAATTGGGGTGCAAAGTATTGGGGTGAAGAAATACTATTTGGCCTCATGAATCAAAACTGACTACGTATTGAATAACATCAAACACTGTACCGCACATTTAAGCTTGAAGACAAGTATATATTGTAATTCAGCTTAAACACGATTTCAAATCTACTTCCAATATTTGTTTTGTTCATTATAAAGTAAAATTTATCTATCATTGTGCTTTAAATTTTGCGCAAAACACATGAGGCATCACTGTAAATTTGGTTTGTTAACTGAAAGCCGCCTGTACTTTGTAGTTTTACCAAAATGTTTATATTAATTGGTGCAACTAACTTACTTTTACTGTCGTGACAACAACAAGTGATCTCCTCCATATTTAGATTATTGTTATTGGAACCGTCATCGCCAGAAGATGCTTTATCATTGACTACATGCTGTGATTTTTGGACAGAAACCATACACTCTTCAAATTTCAATGCATCCGAACCAGATGGGTCCAGAATAGAAGCCTCGGAATCTGCTTTTTCTGGAAACTGGTCTGAGTTATTTATTCTACATGCACTTCCGAGTCGGTATTCCGAAATGTCTGGCATTGACAGATACTAAGTGAGATAATGTCGATGTTTTCAAGGTTAACAATAATCACACACGATAAATAATGCTACTATGTAATTACTGTCTGGCAATAACTGTGATGAAACATGATAAGTATGACATTTGAATGATGATAGCATAATACAACCACAGAAACAATAGACAATGGTTCGGTAATTAGTTTTCAAACAACCCACGCTTAGTGTAGCCTTGAAGTTTTTCTTGTGTTTCGGCCAAACACCCGTTCACAGTAAATTCAATATTTTGGTGGCTGTTTTGAAATGTCAGGGATGTCGTTAGAATACGCTCGCGTTGGTAATATTGAAGATATCACGTCAAGTAGCTTCATTCCCATACACTAACTTACATTTAGTCGGTTCAACCACCAGCTTCCTACAGGCTACAGCAGCTGAGGTTAGATCAACACGGGTAAACTGGCAATCTTACCTTCAGTAAGTTCTTATATGTGTGGATGTACAATTTGGTTTCAGAGGACAAATAATTAATGATGAGCAGTATTCATTCATAACACGACTTGATAATGCTCCCACCGCGGAAGCACGAAATCATGTAATTAGGACTGATGAAAACATGGTAAGTGGAATTTTCAGCCCTTATTGTTCGAAAGACCGCTAGGGTTTTTATATTTATCCTAAATAAAATCTCGAAAGAACAAACATTACGATATATCCTTACACTTATTGATGATATGCTTCAGGTATGTTGTTAATTCACTGGTCGTTGAGTTTTAGGAAGACAAATTACGTGTTGAAATCTTTCGTGATTACTTCTCCAAGTCAAAAGAGTCACTTTGGTCTCATTTTTTCGGATTTTTTCAAAGAGGGGATCCTTTCTGTATGTACCAAGCTTCCCGGATAATAGCAAAGTTTGCATGTTGGTCTTCTCAACTTATGGAGGAAAATGACTTAATTTATTACTTAAATTGGCTACGTGAACAACTAACAATAACCGTAAGCTTCTTTTCACTTTAAAGAGTGTTAGGTGTACACAATATTTTGCTCTAAAACTTAAGCTGACTTTTGGCTTTTCAGCTCGTCTATAAATATTCGTCACTTGGTCCTGTAATTCCGTTTGGACTGCACCGTAGAATCTGATAGTAAATCTATAATTCAAGTTATCAAAGCTATTATACATAAGGTTAAAACTTACACTTTCAGAACATAAGTTCAGGAGCCTGTGTTGTTTCTATTCTAGAAAGTCTTTGTTTAACCTCCTGAATATGTAATTGAAAGTCCGGAAACCACTTCTGGTTGTAGGTTCCGACAGTTAATCACGTGGTTGGAAAACCTGGGTGTCATGAGAACTAATGGTCATGATAAGTCATCAATTTTGGTGTAGAATACTTTTTAAAAAATACTGAAAATAAGGGTCTGTGATGCAATTGTACCAAAAACCTCACATTGGTACAGTTTTACAAATCGTTCATTACCATAATCTCTGAAACAAACATTTAGACTACTCGTTTACTTAACTCATATCATCATTCACAACAAAACAGTAGTCTTGTAGTCTCCTTGTTTCTAAGTTTTTATCTTAATTCCTCCTTCAGTGATACTTTATTATTGTTACTTAAACACAAACCAAATAGATATGCGCCAAATAAATCATTCGATTTATATGGGGACTGCCCGGGTGCCCAAACCGGAGCAGCCAACTTTATTAGGGGGTTACACCCGGAGCCGTTGACCTAAAGGTCTGATCCACAAGGCAGTGAAGCAACCTCAGGAGATGCAGTCCCATTGTAGCTGGTGGCCAACAGCAGGTTCATACGCCGTTTGTTCCTTCAGGATACGGGGCCCATGTTCACCATTGGTTTGGGATCAGGGATTTCCAGCTCCCTTAAGTGGATCCTCCATATCCATCAACCCGGTTAGTGTGCCGGACATTCGCTTTTCGTCCTCTCAATTTCGTAAACAACACCCGTGGTGCGAGAATGGCAGTGAGTAGTACTTCCCTGGTAGTGGTTGTATGCACGTAGCCACTTGAGAGCATTTGGAGAGGAAAAGCTGACTCTCCCCACTCTCGGCCGTACCAGGGCATTGGGGGACAGTGATAGTTTAAAGGCTGTTTGTTGCAGATAGGGGAGGATGTATCCATCGTAGTGTACATTCTACATTTGTGTCCATGTTTCGTGCCACACAACACCCACTTCGGTTCAAACAGTCAGATAGTTTCACTAACCCTACAGCCAACAGTTGGACCCAAAGCCAAGATAATCTTGTACATTGTAAATAATTCGCGTCGTTTCGTGTTTTATATTCATCTTCACATATTAAATTAAAATCCTTTCTGACTAACGGAATGAGATAATGGTTGTTTTTCTTATTCTTTACAGAATAATCAGTATGATCAAACTGTGGCTCGAAATCTTCAAATGATGCTTCGTATCAAAGAGTATCGTGCTCAATTCTCTAAAGTCGGAGGAATTGAGACGTGCGTTTGTGTTTCATTCTTTGTTACTGCTTGTATGAAAAATTTTCTATTTCTTATATGTTTTCTGAGTTTCTATTTAATCTGTTTAATGGTTAATTACTATGTTAAATGCACTTTTAACCAGTAAGCTCCAAGGTTGAATCACTTTTCATCTACTTCGGCCTGGATACGTTCGTAATTACACTATCCCTCACACAGCATAGCTTAAAGTCAAGTCTGTTTATGGCGAAGTAATAACGTCTTCCAGAAGATCAGAGACTTGTTAAGAGTACTATAAGATAATTCATTTCGCTTTAAAGTACACATGTTTAAGGTTTTAAGTAGCTAAAATAAATGTTTTGATCTCTCGCAAACCAGTATACAACTACCTGAAAACTATCCATGTATTTTGGGATTTGAATTTTTTATTCATCATTTCGGACTTCTCGAACATCCCCAATTGCATCATAAACTTAAAACCGATTCTGTTGTATGGACTGCCTGCTTCATCTTGACACAGCTGGTTCGGGTTGAAATGTGACACGTTTACCTAGTTTTTATCTCTGAATTCGATATTATCTTCATTTTAGTAAAAGTAATTGAGGTTATCTTTGCTTATCTAAATGTTTCGGCATCTATCTGCGATCCAATAACTTCTCCTGAGTCCTATTCGATACCTCTACTTCCCATGGATTGCTTTTATATTAGCTATAGGCATTAACAGGTCATGTTTCGGTTTTTCGTGAATTTCAGCTAGTTGATATTCTCTAGTGATCTTATTCAATCTATTATCTTGTTTCTACTGGATTCTAACTGTCTGTGCTACCTTTATCTAATGGTCAACTTGAAATTCTGCCATGCTATGTGGGTCACTTGACGATTACTAAGATCAAAGGCAGCAATTTTCAGATCAGAGGGCTTAGTTTCACTGCCTGCTTCATTAGTTTTAGTTATACGCACAAACGGCTAATATTACCAGTAGTTATGTCCTATCATAAATAAATGGTGATTTAGGAGAAGGATGGCTGTTAAATATCCTTTCTTTGATTCACTTATTTTTGAAGTTGGCAACAAGTTTTCAAAGTGTGGATCTAGTACAATAAAGACACCCGAAACAAGTGATAATCAAGGGCATCACAACGTCATTTACTTTGAAAGTGTTGTTGCTTCTGGAAGGAGGTAAAAATCAAGCTCAAGTTTCCCCGTTTCACTCTACCTGTGTTCTAGATGAAATGTCCATCTACATACCAAATTGTGTACTTTGTTTAAGAGTTTTCTATGAAAGTAGAAAGCATTGATCGTTTGCTAGTTATTTAATTCATACATATCTTGGGGTGATTTCATGCGCTTGATGGTATGATGTAGTAAATATTGAGGAGTCTAGGTGTATATCGCTAACTAGATATGTCAACTCAATAGATAATCATGTTCGCATTTGGTTAGTGAGTTGTATCAATTACATAATTGAACTGATTATTGTTACTAATTAAAATGCCTTACGTGATTTGTAGAAGTTATTTTGTCATATTTGAAACTAAGAGCAATTGCTTAAAAGTAGTTTTTCGATTCCTCACTGAATTATTACCTGACTATTGCGATGTGTTTTTTCAGTTATAATAACCACTAACCCGTTCCTTGTATACACTTTACGACCATTTTTCCCTGTATATATCTTACTAAAATATTTTACTATCTCATCCAAAACGTAGCATCAGTCCTTGAAGTCACTAACTTCTGGTTTGAGCCATGTTAGTAGATGCACACGACGTGGTTGGGGTACGTGTGACTATCGTAACCAATGATTAGAGACTCTGTGTGACATGGCTCAGAATCGATCACAACTATGAAATTAAAATCGCTTCATATCTTTCTATCAACTAATTCTTTCTTCCTGTATTATATCCTTATATACAATCTTTCTTTTAGATATTACCATCACTGAATTAACTACTTGTATGAATTCCGTATTCATCTTGTTGTGCTAATGAGGTATGGCAACTTGAACCGGTGCACATATGTTCCTGGTCCTACGTTGTAGCTGACTGACTTTCTATCTCATTTACTTTTCTTTTCCATCGAATATACTCCTATAAACTCTCATTTTGAATTCGCATAATTGAATCCATTTTCATCATTGTCTAGTAATAATTATTTTGATTAGATTTATCTTTCTCATTTATAAAGCATTGGAGATGTTTTACAAGAAAAATCAACTAGTCGTCAGTTGCAATATCAGTTAATTTTTTGCTTATGGTGTATGAGTTTTGATTCAGTTCATGTAACTGATATATGTAAGAATTCTGCATTATTGGCTACTGTAGCTGATATTTTCCTTGAAGCAGATCGAGAAAAAATCACTAGAATTTCATTGGCATTCTTTCGTGTAAGTTAGTTGATTCTGATTAATTTATAGTATCTTATTGTTGCTATGTAGTTTATTTTCTATGCTTTATAAATGTGTTCCTCTGAGTGACGTCATCAGCACAGACTTCAGGTAGAAATTTGTATAGTTTGTGCTGTTGTTCAGAAGAACGATGAAAGCTGTACAACCAAACCATCTAGCTGGGAGAACAAAACTCCATCAAAAACATAAACATTCTTTTTTGTTAAAGCCTAAATAAATTCTGGGCTTTATTTTGTGATGTATGCTTCGAAATGTTTCTTTTTCATACAAAATTATGCTTCTCTTACAATCCTTCTATCGTAGCTGACAAGATTCGCTTTTATTAAAATGTAAATATTACTATATGGGAATTACATTAACGAACTAATACACAGAAATCTCACAGTATAATTTCTTATGGTTACCATTTATTTATTTAAATACATAAATGTTGCTACAAACAGGCAACAAATATATATGCGCCATATAAATCCTTCGATTCGTGTGGGGGCTGCAGTACTGCTCGATCACCCACACCGAAGCACGTGGTTTTCTTAGATGGCCACTCACCGAGCCTTTGACTCAAAAGTCCAATCCACAGGGCGGTGGAGCAATGTTAGAAGATGCAGTCCCATGGTAGTTGGTGACCAACAGTAAATTGATATGCCATTTGTTACCTCAGGATCCTGTAGTCTATGTGTAGTATTGGTTTGTAATCAGGGTATTCTAACTCTAATAGATCGGTCCTACGTGTTCACCAACCCAGTTAAAGCTCCGAACATTCGCTTTTCGTCCTCTCTCGTAAACAACACCCGTGGTGCGAGAAGGCATTGAGTATGACTTTCGTGTCAGTGGTTGTATGCACGTGGTCATTTGGGAGCATTTAGGAGATGGTGATCTGACTCTCCGCACCCACCGACTGTACCACAGCATTTTTGGCCTGTATATATATATAGTTACCATAAGTTGAATTACTTACCGTGTAGAAATATGTGGTTGTACATGATAGAAAGCAATAATATCAGTCGTTGTGGTAGAAATCGATATCAAACTACGGTGAACGCTACTTGCTAATTCAACTTAGAAAAGTTCCCATTATCATCGATTTGTTTATTACCTTGATCCAATATCATATTCTTAAAATAAGTGTTACCTAATTCATTGATTTATCACCAAAAATGTACCATGAATCGAAGACATTTATAATCGTGTACTTTTGCTTTACGTATATCTCTTAATTTCCATAGTTCATGCATTGCACACTGGATGTAACATCATTACACAACTTTCGTCACATAAGATCACTTATGTGACTAAGAACATTCACTTAGAATGTACTATTCACCATTTCCCCTGTAGAACAATGAATTCTGCTCCACAGATATAGTTTTATTTACATAATGTTATTGAATAACTGATCACAAGTTTAAGAGACACTGAATTATGAGGATTTTATACCAGTTAATTGTCTAAGCTAAAGTAAATGTAGCCATATCTTAAACTTTAATCCAATAGTTGGGATCTATTTACGGTGAACTAACGCTCTATGTTTATAATGTCCAGTACATTTACGACCCTAATTACACTCGTTAATTACCTAAGCTAAATTAAAGTGTAGCCATATCTCAACGTTTAATCCCAATTTAATCTTGAAAAAAATCTACTTATTTCTTTCCTTAATGTTGGTCTCTTTCATATAAAACTATTTTTACAGAGTATTTTAGAAAAATTACCTACAAACGCTGAACAAAGAGATTGTGGTTTACGTTTAGTTCAATATAAAGTTTTAAAAGAATTAGAATTGCTTAATCAAAAAGATTTTAGTCATGATCCTGAATTAACTGAAGATATTGCATTCTTAAATGTAAGTTAATTCATTCTTTTAATTGTGAGATCTCATACTATCTTTGTTGTGATGGACTAATATGATGGAAAGAAAAGCCAAATTTCGATTGATTTACGCATTATAAGTTTTGTTCAAGATTATTTCCGTTTTGATTCAATGTAATGATTACCCAGTGCAGTATTTGCTTTCTTTTCTCTTATGATATTTTATTCTGCATTACATACGAGATAATCTTGTATTCCATTGACATGAACTATGTATGCTCAGTAAGTGATTTGTTATATATGTGATTACATTCTAATTATTAATCAAAATGGCTGTACAATCAATATATAAATGAGTGTATTTTCAACTAGAGTCGTCGTCGTCGTCGTGTTTTGGGGGTTAATAAATCACCACTTATATCAGTCTTTGTGTTCTTACACTTTGCGTCGTGGGAATTGCAGAGGTCCCTCGTTCCGAGTATAAGTGATCAGTGTTTTTCCGACATAACAGTCAGCGAAGATCAGATACAAAAAGTAGCATTGAAACAACAAGTTATAACACGGACAATATCCAAAATTTGATACTGATATATGGTGTGCTATGTGCTAACACCCCCTCCTCAGCTGACTACTTGAGTGAGAAACTTAGTGTCGGTTATTATGTTAAGCCCATATATCTTATTCTCGCTTTCGGACAGCCCAATCTATTCATTCTACTTGAGTCACATTTTGACCTTGTTAATTATCCATTTATCAATCTTGACTGTTTTTATATGAGCACATTTATGTGTGTACACTTATTATCCCATTACTCATTACATTTCTGTAACTTATTTTTGTATGCCTATAAATATTGATTCACGCTTGATTGAAAGAAGTTGACTTACCTGCCATCTCCATTGCGCGTCATTTCTCTTCTCTCTATTCCATTCGCTTCATACACAAAATATATATATCCAAAATCCCATTCTCTTTATTTGACTTATTTAATTCCGTTATTGACTAGCGCGATTTAAGTCAGTGATTATATATGAGGATAGGCGACATATATATTTCAATATCAAACAGATATGATCTAATTGGAGTCAGATCCAAGGGCCACTAAAATGGAGAGCCCTTTTGACAACATCGTTCGATGTAAATGACGACAAAATAAAGGGCCCCCACAGAAAGTGTATTGGACTACCTAATAAAATGTACAAATACTCATTCATATATAAACCTCTCTAATCCTTAGGAAATTAAGCCATTTTTAGCCAAGGAAATGCACCTGTCCTTTAGGTCACTTCATATCAATCTTTGTTGGGTGTTTTCATGTCAAATGGTTTTAATATTTTTACTACTATTTGTATACCAGCTATGTAGTTATATGCATATCTGGTTTTGGGACGAAACCAAGGTGTGTTATTAGTCTATGATCTGTTGAATTGGGCCATTTATAATTAGGTTCATACTAACTGGTTAGTTAAAGAGAGCAAGAGCAAAGATTGGTGCAGAATAATATGAATTCATCTTATTTCGTCAGGTTCTCATCAGCTGCTTACAACCTAAAATATTTAAAATTCAACATTATTACAGATATTGACTTCCTTCTAGGTAGGTGTAGACTACCTGGTTGGAGACCGCGAGATGATAGCAACTGATGGTTAGAGACTCTGAATGGCATGGCTCGAAATCGTTTCAATGGCGCAGGTGCATCCACTCTTTGTGTTCTCCCAGATTTTGATCTCCTTGTCTCTTTTTTTCTCTTCCCAAATTTACTTCACTGAATTATACTCTTTAAATAACATCTTCAAACCCTAATCTTTCTGATTACTGGTTATACCCTTACCGCCTCCACCACTACGGGATTTGAATCGACCACTGCATTTCTGTGCTAATGTGGTGTGGCAACTCGAACTGATGTACGTACGTACGAAGTTCTACGTTGTTACTGACTGACTGACTAGGCACTGGTCAAAACACTGTTTCACAGAATATGTACTGCCAATACACTAGAAGAGGAAGTCATGAATGTTAAGAAAATGTTTAAAGAATAAAGGATACCCATTGGAATTTATTGAGAAATATGACAAACGTGAAGATAAAAATCCAAAGAAATTACAGCAAATAAAAATCTTATTTTTAATCAAATTAAATTCAAAGGTGACGATGTCACAGGAGACTAAAAACTGCATTGACAAGAACTTATCCTACAGCGAATTTGATTGTCCTGTCCAAAACAACATGTTCTTAGGCACAATCAAAAGTCGACAGATATCCCTTTCATGTTACCACCAACTGTTTATACAAATTTACATGTATCTGCCAGAGCAGTTACATTGGTATAACAGAAAGGAGAGCCTACGTCCTATTGAAAGAACATATTCCGAAAAGTTTAAGATTAAATGGATTGAAAGCATTCAACAGTACCATCGCAAGACATCTCCTTGACACAGGACACGAGGTCGATACACTGAAGTCCTTCAACGTGATTAGCAAACAATCAAACTCCAACCTTCTGAAATTTGCCTAAACAATAGCAACCAAACGTTTAAAACCAGACCTTATGTATACAAAAAGAGACAGTAATAAATCTTTCTTTACCCTTGTCACATTAACCCCCCTTTTTATTCATTTGTAGCTATTTATTTATTTGTTGTGTCATTATTCCAACTCTTTCGAAAGTTTAAATTACATCATACATAACTGATTGATTTCAATTCATATTTTCCTTATTACCATTAATCTATTTCCACGAGTTCTAATCACTATTTCAATGTTCTGGAACTTTCCCTCTGAATCTGAAGCTTCGCTACATCATGATACACATGTATTGATGATCCTTAATCACACTATTATGTATAAATATGTCAGTATCTGTAATAATATTGAATTTCAAATAAGTTAGGTTGTAAACAGCTGATGAGAACCTAACGAAATAAAATGAATTCATATTATTCTGCATCAATCTTTGTTCTTGCTCTCTTTAAGATAACAAAGGGAACTATGTGTATGAAATAACTGGTTAGCGTTCGCGTGAGACCGAAGTTCTTAGGTTCAAGCCCCGCATACGTGATCGTGGATGCTCGTGATGTGGATTCTTAATACTAGGACGAAACAGTCGTCCAGTCATGTTTTCCCTAAGTTCTCTGTTGTATATGATATACTACTACGCTTTATCTCTAAAATGTTGTAATGTCTGTTAAATGTACTCTGAGTTTCAGTTAGGTTTTTTGACGTTTATTTAGCTTCTTAATTACTGTTTTCTTGAAACAAGAATATCAACTATCGTATCAACTTTTCATATTCTTACTAAACTTCTCTTGTTTTTTCTTCAAGGAGAAATTATCGGCTAGTATTCAAGATGTAAGTAGTCTTGATGAATATATGGCTGAATTAAAATCTGGTCGATTAGAATGGTCACCCGTTCATAAATCAGAAAAGTTTTGGTATGAAAATGCAGTAAAATTTACAGATAATAATTATGAAATGTTAAAGTAAGTTTAACAAAATAAAGATCATTTAAAATAAAGCCTTTCTTACCTCATTGTTCATTGGAAATAGATTCAATTCAATAATTAGGTAGACTTTATTAGATGAGATCATGAGTCAATTAAAGCTAGACTACCATAGAAAACCTGGAAGCACTGGATGGCGGTTTCGTCCGATTGTAGGACTCCTCAACAGTGCACATCCACGATCCTGCCTCGCGAGCGCTTAACCTCTAGACCACTGAGCCGGTATCCAACGGTGATAATGTCTAACTTCAACCAATCCACGAAATTGAGCGACAAATCCACCACTGTTTTCAGTAAGTAACCGCCTCATAACAGACTCGGTTGAACTCCACTAGTCACTGCTTCTCACTAGAACTCCAGGAAATACCTGTTAAAGCCAGTTGATCAGAAGGAGTTTTTGTGGATATCATATTATAAATTTACTTGTGTTTATGAATTCTCTATTTGAATATTCTCTCTTTAATTTTCACCATTTAGAATGTTAGTACGACTAGTCGAACTGGGTACTGATCCATTAACATTATCTGTGGCTGTACACGATATTGGAGAGTTTGTAAGACATTATCCACGTGGTAAACAGTAAGTCCATTATTAAATGTTGTTAGCGTTATTCTAATTTTAAATGTCAACTACTAGATTACAAATTCAAATTGTCTTCTATTGCAGTCAATAAGATAGTCATGAACACACAATCATTGAGTCCAATACAAATGTTTAATAACTCAAGGTGTTGTCTCATTACATTAGTACAACGAGATATAAATTGACAAGATGCATAGTTCCGTGTGTTTATTGTTACTAGTGCTTAGAGACTTTGAATGGCATAACTCAAAATCGTTTGAAATGGCCCAGATGCATTCATTCTTTGTTCCCACCCCTAAATTCTAAGCTTCTGAATTCCTCATAACTTTTTTTTCTACTTTTTATCTCACTAATTTATATTTTTTTCTCGAATCGTATGTTCGATGTCTAATCGTTTCTATTACTACTGATACTGTTACTACCCATGCTATCCTGAGACTTAACCTGTCAATCCCATCTCCCTGTACCAATAAGATGTGGAAACTTAAACCGATATACATACATACCAGGTTCTACCTTGCAACTGGCTAATAGGAATGGAATTGAAATCATAATCACTGATTTTGAGTCAAAGACTTATCATAGACGATATCATTTGTATTGATTGTTTAAATCTTCTCATTTGTGTTTAGGAATTCAATTGATTAGTCTCTCTTGACATATATGCATTCTATACAGATTACTCATGGACGATGTTATTTTGAAAAGACACATACCCTTCCTTCCTTCATTACAACAACTTACTCTTAGTTTGTGTTCACCATTTCCACACAAGATAATGATTAACCAAATACAAGTACTTCCACGAATACGACATTTTCGAAATTATGAATCAACTAAATATTTAATTCTTAATTCAAGATTTCACATTGTTAAATACATCACAGAAACTATCGACCATTGGATAGGTATCACAAGATAAATATACTCGATTTTCAACTTCATCTGTCGTATATTTCAACATTGTACGGAATTATTCATAGACATTGGTTTAGTAAATTTTAATGTAACTCTTGATGCACAAATTCAGTCAGTCAGCTACAACATAGAACCAGGCACATATATGCATCGGTCCAGGTTGCCATACCTCATTAGCACAGCAAGATGAACACCGGATTCATAGGAGTGGTTAGGTTAAAGGTGGTAATATATAGGAGAAAGATTGCATATAAGGATACAGTACCGGAATAAAGAATTGGTTCGTAGAAAGAAAGATATGAAGTGATTTTAATCTCTTAGTTTAAGGGAAGACAGGGAGTGTATACACCGACGCCATTGTGATCGATTCTGAGCCATGTCACCAAGAGTCTACAACCATCGGTTACGAAAGTCACGCGGAACCCAACCAAGTAGTCTGCATCTACCAACATGGCTCAGACTAGAGGTTAGTGTCTTCAAGCACTGATGCCACGTTTTGGTTTGGCCGCCCCTAATTCTCTTCCAACCATCTCTAACACCCGTTAGCATTGCACGACGTGGTAATCGGTGTTCAGGCCCACGTAACACGTGGCCCAACCATCTCAGTCGATGAAGATTAACAACCTCATCAACTGATTTACCATCATTCCCTAATACCCTGCGTCTAACCTCACTATTACTTACCCGGTGATCCTAACAGACGCCAGCAATATTTCTAAGGCATCTGTGGTCAAATACTAGTATCTTACGGGTGTATTCTACTCTTAAAGGGCATGTTTCGCTGCCGTAAATTAAAACAGAACGGACTGCTGCCCAGTATACTCGTTATTTATGTTGATAGACGGATATCTCGCCTTCGCCAAAGGTGACGTAAGTTGACAAAAGCCAAACGAGCTTTTCGAATTTGTGCTGAGATTTCGTCCGATACCAGCCCATTAGGGCTGATCAGACTTCCAAGATAAGTGAAGTTGTCGACGCGTTAGACAGTCAGTCATAAGCAACATAGAATCTGGTAAACCAACTTATTACATCGCATCAACACGATAAGATGAAATTATGAAGGTTGAATATCAGTGTAGTTTTAGCAGTATCAGGAAAATTCTACACAAACATAGAGGAACAAAAATCAAACCAATGGGAGATACAACCAAAACAAAAAATTAAACAATGATAGGTTTAAGGTCAACAAGTACCAATCAACACCAAAGTTACAGGACAAGCTGTGAATCATATATGGAGAAATTCGAACACTTCAATTCTACCTGAAGTGCTGATGATTTCGTTCAGAAGAACGATGAAGGCTTCATGACCAAACTATCCAGCTCAGAGAACAAAACTCCATCAAAATCATTTATCTGAGCCACAAATCTCCACCATCGCAGATGTCATTGACATAAGGCAGATTCGTCACTGGTGAACTTAATAATTTATTGATCCTATTACGTGGGGTTCAGTAAAAGTTGGATTCATAACTTTTAAAATATTGTCTTATACTTCTCATTTACCGATTTCATTCTTTTGATATGAACTATCTTCGAAATAATTGTTTCATCAGTTTGATTTGTATTATTATGATTATCACTTCTTTGCTTTCTATCTTGACAATTACCCTCTTTTGTTGCTTGTGTTGTGTTGATATAAATTTTGTGACTAATGACGAATTTTTCCCCATACCGTTAGGAGTATGGGGACAACTTTTTTCCGGTTGCCTACACCATGAAAAGATACTTCTGGAAAAGAAACTGGGTTAGGAGTCATCTTGGTAACCCAGGATCGTAACCTCAGTCTCTATGGAACAATTGCTTAATGCCAGTCACACACGGGCTTTTTCAGGTAGTTTTAGACGACTTAGCTCAGTAATTTAAAGCTCGTACCGCTGGTGGCGTAAATCTGTGCGGTAAAGATGAGATATAAGGTGTCTAAGTTCTACATTTTCTAATTGTTACCTTCCTTAGTGAAAAGGCAGTACTGCTGCAAAAACTGGTCATCTAAGGGAAACACATTACTACTTCCATACCATTATACAGTCGACAAAACGACTTCTCCGTCGTACCTTAAATCTGTCAATTTCATCTCATTACTTTCCAACCGACCTACCTGATACCTTTGAATCTGAGAGAACTGGTGTTCCATCCAATATAACTCGACTGAATCATCACTGTAAGCAAATCCAGCCACTACGTCAAGGTAGCAGCTACTCTGAAGGTTATTAATCGTTTCATCATGTTTGTTTTAGGAGTATTTACGTTCTTTACCAATGACTAATCATCCATTTACTTGATTAATTCATGTTAAACATTTATGTATCTCGTATTGTTTGTTCCTCTTTTTCTTTCCACTTGTAGAATAATTGAAACACTTGGCGGTAAACAGTTAGTGATGGCTTTACTACAGCATGATGATCCAAATGTTCGTTATAATGCGCTAGTTTCATTACAAAAGATAATGGTACATAATTGGTAAGTAGATAGTTATGTGTGTATTTTCATACAGTATTTGTTATGAACTGACATTTAGCTGTTTAATTCTAGTTAGAAGTATATCAGTCGTGTACAACTCTCCCGCAGATTGAACCTCAAACTTTCAATTTTCAAGCGAACACGTCACCTCATGACCGACATCCTAAGACTGATACATAACCTATTGATCTTGTGATGTAATATCATGTTATTATCTGTTAAAATGAAGAAATCAAAGGCTTCCCAGTTGGACTTACGACGATGGTGTGTGTAGGTGTTTGTTTTATCAATCTATTACTACTATGAAAAAAAAACATAAATGAACAATCAGTCATCATCAACATGATGCTTAACATAAATGTCCATCAGTCCAGTTAACTTTATCACATCACCAAAACGAAATGGTGGAAATACTTGAAATAATAGTAGCATTAATTATAATCAAAGAAGCTAAATATAGAAGAATACGATACGAAATGAATGGATAGATTCGAGGAATAAAGTGTGACAAAGAAAGAGTGCTTCATTGTTCACTATTGGTACAAATTCCGAATCATCTCACTCAATATCTTCAACTATTATTCAGGATAACCGTGCGAATCCTTACTAAGTATTGTGCACTAACATGGCCAGTAACTTCGTACACTGATGCCACATGTTGGCTTGACTGCTCCTACCTTTCTTAAAACTCACTCCCACACCAGCTAAGATTGCAAATATAGGTAACAGGAGGAGGTGGTTAGACATGTATAACTAACCACCTCAGTCGATGAAGATTTACCGTATTTATCTAGTGAGCTTACTTTCATTTCGGCATTGCTTATTCATTGGTTTTCTCAATATTAATTCCATAAAATAATCCGTTATAAGGCATTAAAAATGACATGGAGGCAATAAAATAACTGCTTTATTCTAATATAGAACTCTTCAGTATTAGGGTATTTACCCCACTGCCATACAGATGAAATCAGATATAGAATTACTGAGTTTCCTTTTTTGATGAACACATAATCTTAATAGTCAATCTATGCTAGACAACCATTGAAAACCTCGAAGCGCTGATACATAAATATTGACTTATTACTATTTATTATGATACATGTATAAGCTTATAATTAATCAAATTTTGTTATTCTGTAAAAATGCGTTCAAGATGTATAGTAGTTAAGTATTGAAAACCTGGAAGCACTGGACGGCTGTTTTATCCTAATGTAGGGCTCCTCCATGATCCTGCGCACAGGATTCGGACCCATGACCTTCGGTCTCGCACGCGAATGCTTAACTCTTAGACCACTGAGTCGGCATCAAACGATGTTATTGTCTAAATCCAATCGATCGATAATCTTGCGCAACCCTTTATCATGTTTCATATATATATATATATATATATATATATATATATATATATATATATGGTGTAGAAGTAGGTTGGAAGACAGCTGGAGGCGACCAGACCAAAACATGTCACAAATCCATGAAGTCACTAACAAGTGGACTGAGCCATTTTAGTAGGTAAAGACTATTTGGTTGTGATCCGCGAGGCGATAAAAACCGATGGTTAGAGACCTTGAATGACATGGCTCAATATCGTTTGCAATGGCGCAGGTGCATTCATTCTTTATCTTCTCCCAAATTCTAGTCTTCTGGATTCTTCATGTCCCTTTTTTCTCTTTCCAAATTTATTTCACTAAATTATACTCCTGTAATAACATCTTCGAACCCTAATCTTTCCGATTACTGCTTATATTTTTACTACCTCTATCATTATGGGATTTGAAATGACAATTGTATATCTGTGCTAATGTGGTGTGGCAACTTGAACTGATTTACGTACGTATGACGTTCTACGTTGTTGCTGACTGTCTGATATATATATCATCATATTTCCTAAAATTGTTTTATTTATTCCAGGGAATATTTGGGTAAACAATTGGATTCAGTTCAAAGTACTGATGTTAAATCAACTGGAGTAAAAGTAAAGTAGTAGTGTGTAGCAGTAGTATTATTAGTAGTAATGATAAAAACTATTAAAAAAACACCTTTTAATTACCTTCAAATGATCTAATGAAACTTAATCAAATGTAATTCATCAATAAGTGATTGATTCGTCATGAACAATTAACAAAGAAACATACATATATATAGTAATCCATTTATTTTTCAATCAATCATTATTTACTGTTGTTACCAGGCTTCATTATTCTGGGTTTAGTGTTATTGTTATCATCTGGTGTAATCAGTTCTTCATAGTGATTCTTTCATTCTCTTTTATTTCAATTTATCAATGAGATTAAATATAAACAAAACAAACATGCATAATAATCAAACTTTCTTTTTCTTGACTTTCTAATATTGACTTGTTTTTTTCTTTGTTGTTCTTCTTGTGATAAATTTATTCCTGATATTTATTGATGTTTTAACTTGTGAACCTGTGTGCCCTGTATATTGGATAACGCAACGATATCGCCAATTGGAGAGTAGGGAAGTATCGATCGAACCAAGAACGCGTAAAACACGTGCGAACAGTCTACAGTCCTTATTGGTCCTGTTTTCTACTTTATTATATTTATTTCAACACATAGATAATGGTACAAAGAGACACCAAATACATATGCGCCACACAAATCTCATTCGATATGTGTCAGGGCTGTGATATTTCCAGGGTGCCCAAACCGAAGCAGGTGGTTTTCTTAGGGGACCACATCCAGAGCCTTCGACCTGAAGGTCTGATCCACAAGACAGTGGAGCATCGTAAGGAGATGCAGTCCCATGGAAGCCGGTGATCAACAATTGGTTCATACGCCATTTGTTCCTTCAGGATCGTGGAGCCCATGTGAACCATTGGTTTGGAATTCGGTTAAAGCGCCGGACATTCGCTTTTCGTCCTCTCATTTTCGTAAACAACACCCCCGCCAGTGAGTAGGACTTCCCTGGCAGAGGCCGTGTGAGAGCATTTGGACAGGGAGAGCGGACTCTTCCCACTCTCGGCCGTACCAGGGCATTTGGGGGCTTTTTTCTACTTACCCCAGCCAATTAAGTCCAGAACACCAATCTCAGCCTCTGCAATATGAATCCTTATATTTCAAACATACTGAGTTTATATACCAATCAAACAGACCACAACGTACCATAAAATAGAAAATAACATTTGTAAAATATTTGGTCAAAAGTGTCTTTGGATGAGGGAGATAGTAATTGATAGACAGGGCATAAATTAAGAATAGTCAGTCGTATGATAATAGTTCATAGATCAAAATAAAGCTCACAATAAAATGAACATGAATATGTATAGTTTAGTTACTTAACAATTATACGATAAAAATGTACTCATAGTATTGGTCCATAAATGGATCCCAAAAGTTACCATTCATTATTCTTATCGAGATATAACACCTCTTTTTAAAGATCCGGGTTTATCCTCCCTCACGAAACAGTGATCTTGAGTGCTGTTAAAGGTATGAGGGCGATTATCACTTCCCGGTTGCCCACACCGAGAAAGGGTTCTTCTGGAGGTGCCTGAAAAGGAAATTGGATTAGAAGTGGTCTTAGTGACCTGGGAGTGTGACCGCAGTGCCCAAGGGACAACTGCTTGAGGTCGGTCACACACGACCCTGTTATGGGTAATTTTTGTGTTAGCTCCGTACTTATTGAGGCCTTACCACCGGAGACGGATATCCGTGGGATAAGGCGAGGTGTGCATTTTTAGGGTCGACCTTTTCTAACCCCACCCCTCCTTGTGGGAAAGCAGTATCGCTATCATGCTGGTTGTCTGAAGGAAACACCTTACTGTTGTCACACCTCTGTACAGTCAGCAGTATGACTTCGCCTTCAGACCTTGGGTTTGTTGCTTTTAGTCTTACCGCTCTTCAACCGACCTGTCTGACATGGTAGGACCTTGAGGAACGGTTGTTCGAGCCAGTATAGCTCGGTTGCTTCATCACGATAGGCAAGCCCGACCACCACGTCAAGGTAGCAACAACGGTCGGGTCCTCACGAAACAGTGTTAGATCCTCGTATTCCCAAGTTACAATTAATTTGACTTTATTTAAAACGTATTTCTCAAATTGAACAGAGAATTTACTAAAGGTGATTAAATGATTACGATCAACGTCGCTTGATATGAGGTCATCAAAGTTGATGCTTGATTCATTTTCTGTCTCTTCGCGGGCGGCTACTGCAATAATTTCATGAGCATTTAGCAAGACGTTATCTGTCTGTGAGTTGGACAAGTCAGTGTTTGTACATGGTGTTTCGGGAGCAATGGGATTGGAACTCACGACAGGACATGTCTCTGAAATGGACGTTTCTGGACCATTGAGCCGATCACGAATGACTGCTATTGCTTCACTTACATTACTGCTCGTCAAGGATTCATAGAGGCTTTTATCGACACTCTCATACGTTCTGCAATCATTTTCCAGCTGGGTATGCAAATTAAAAATTAATTTCCTAATTTCTGTTAAATCTCCAAAACGTGGATGATTTAGCAGCCGTGTGCGTAAATTGTCTAAAACATTCAACTGCCTATTTTTGAAGCACTGCTTTTGTCGGTCAAATAGGAACTGTAATTGATCGAAAGAGATAGTCATTTTCTGAATCAGCACGGTAATGAGGAATACTGTATGATAAATTAACAACCAATGTCTTCCAAGGACACAGATGACCAATCTGGATGCCGATTGCTCGAAATAATTAGATTGAATTTCGTCCAATTACCGTCTGAAGTTGAAGATGAGGGTTCAGAATTTTGTTCTACTCCGTCGCCAATTGTTATAACCTTTCTGGTAATCACTGCCTCCCTCATTCATAGACACTTTTGGCCAAATATTGTACAAATGTTATTTTCTATTTTATGGTACGTTGTGATCTGTTTGATTGGTATATAAATTCAGTATGTTTGAAATATAAGGATTCATATTGGTGTTCTGAACTTAACTGGCTGTGCTAGGCGGGGAGCAGGACCAATAAGGATTCTAGACTGCTCCCACGTGTTTTATGCATCACTGGTTCGATCGATAATTCTCTGATTGGCGGTATCGTTGCATTATACAATAAGCAGGGCACACAGGTTTACAAGTTATAATAATTGATTATGTTTCGATAGGTTGAATGAACAAGGTAAACAAACTGGTTATTTATGTATTAATTATAATTATATTTTCAGGAAGGGGGTTTTTGTAGATATTATAGTGTTTTAATAGTTTTGTTCATAAGTTACTTGAAGCTAGACCACTATGGAAAACCTAGAAGCATTGAGTGGCCGTTTCGTCCTATTGTGGGACTCGTCAGTGGCAGTGCTCATTCACGATCCCGCCCCGCGAGATTCGAACTTAGGATCTGTCGATCTCACGCGCGAACGCTTAACCTCTAGACTACTGAGCTGGTCGGCATCCAATAGTGTTAATGTCTAACTTCAACTAATCCACGAAATTGAGCCACCATTCACCATTGTCTTCTATTTCACCAGGAATAGATTTTTTTGTATTTGACTTCGAACTATACTCTAAATTTGAAGACTATTTATATTACTTGGTTAACTAAACTGATATAAATAAATTGGCATTCGAAGTTGTGGCTTAATGGATAAAATTTGAATGCTTTAAGCGCTAAGTCACTGATTGGATAGATACATATGTATATCAGGGTTACATGGTTCATTATTAATGTTCCAATAACATTTCAGTTTATCATCGAATCGACTCAATGAATTGTAATGTAACTCCAGTAATAATATGTATATGAAAAATTCTCATTTGTGAACTAGATCAACACAAATTATAAGTGAACAATGGTATTTTCAATTAGATCATCTCCAGTCTTTACTCTGTCTTATAGAAATGTTTATATACACATATGAACAATATTAAACATTGAAATAACGTGCATTAAAAATTACGTAATGCTTGAGAAAGGGTTGAAGAAAAACAAATTGTAGATTGATCGAAGTTAGATATTAATGTCGTTGGATAACAGTTCAGTGGTCTAAATATTAAGTGTTCACGTATGAAACCAAAGGTCATGGGTCCGAGTCCTGTGTGCTGAATTGTGAATGCGCGCTGCAGAGGCGTCCTGTACTAGGACCAGATTTCCTATGGTGATCTAACATTGATCGATCCATGATCTCAATGAAAACAAAAACAGACGGACAAAGGGAATAAAAAGTGATAATAATTAGTAAGATCATTTGTTAAGCCTAATTCGGTCAAGGAAGAGATAAAGGTATCGTAGATTTCTTATGAATACAAAGATTTGAGTTCCTAGCTCAAATCCCGTTATTTGGAAGATACGTGGTCGAACTGTCTAGTAAGAAAAGGAGTAGGTTTACAATTTATTTATTTGAATAAATAAATATTGGTTCAAAAAGGCACTGAATACATATGAGCCACACAAGTCGTTTGATTTGTGCATGGGTGGTTTTCTTAGGGGATCACACCCGGAGCCTTCGACCTAAAGGTCTGATCCACAAGACAGTGGAGCATCGTAAGGAGATGCAGTCCTATGGTAGTCGGTAACCAGTAATAGGTTAATACACCATTTGTTCCCTTAAGATTATTGGTTTGGAATCAGGGTTTTCCAACTCTCCTAGGTGAATCCTCTATATCCACCAGCCCGGTTAAAACACCAAACATCCTCTTTTCGTCCTCTCAATTTCGTAAACATCACCCGTGGTGCGAGAAGGCTGACTGAGAGAGCACTTGGAGAGGCAGAGCTGACTCTCGGGCGTACCATGGCATTTGGGGACCCGTAATGTAGTTATGATCGAATTTAATTTAAATATACTTATCTTTAGACTAAGTAGCAATAAGGTTCTTTTCATTAAAATGATAATAAATCTCATTGTTAAAATGTCTATTTGTGTGTGTAAATTTATTGACCTATGGACTAAACTCATTCTTTATTCAATTTGAATGATTTAGATTGTTGATTACATAATCTTACTATTATGTTCTTATGATTGAAATCAAGATCATTTTCTAAATGTGTTCACTCTATTTAGATGAAATAAATTATTCAATAATTTCGATTGTGTATGTATTCTGTGTACCTATTCCTATTGTATTATACATTGTAATATAGTAAGAATCTTTATTTTGGATATACAATTGTATTTACTTTGAATGTGACTAACTTACGGATAACAATACGATTGATTTTTGGTCCAAATCATTCATGAACTATGTACGATGATAAGATCAAATGAGTTTGATTCTAGAGACTATAAATGCATCGTTTTTTTTTGCTTTTGTTCTCAATAAAAAATTAGAGAAAAGTTAAATATTGTATGTAATACTTTAAAATATGACAATTGAATGTAGTGATCTGACAAGGTAGAGTTAGATGTAGCTGTCGTTATTGACAGAGAGGAGAGGTGGAACGTCCGGATATTGGGCGGACATCAGAATG